CACCGGTTGGACTCTGTACGGACTCGAATAGAATTTTTTCCCACACCCACCATATAGCCCCGACATCGCTCCTTCGGACAGAAGTCTGAATGTAGAAACCGAAGGAAGAAACCACCTGCAGCTACATCTTGTTGGTACTATCTTCCTTCTGCACAGGGGCGTCCGAAATGAGGTTGATGTGTTTTTGGACACGCGGGCCACTAAGTTTCTGGGCTCTGAAAAACTACCAAAACTTGGCAGAGATTCATAGATTTGAGTGGTTTTTAACTGGCTGCACTAAAGGTACTGCTTTCATGTTATTTCCTAACTTTATTAAGAACGTTTTTTGGCGGAAAACTTCCGTAACAACCAGATAATACTTCTTTTACTTCGTACAAGAAGTAATAAAGAATCATGTGTGGACCAGGAACGAACTAGTGCATTTTACATTAATTCCTATGTTAAAAATTGTTTTTACTTAGGAATATTTCAGTTTACGAGAGGCCTTCAGAAACGAATAAAATCATGAATACAGGTTGCATTGTGTATCAAAGTTACGTTTTAGACAAAATATTAATGTCCAATTCAGAAAACAGATACTTTTTATTACAACATCGGACGTTAAGCAATGCCGTAAATCTTGTCATTACGGCCTGCTCTTTACGTAGGTCACGGTTCACCTACTACGTTTTGAAATTTGGATGTTCATAAAAATAAAATTATAATTTTCCTAGAAATTTCTTTCTAGAATTCTGTAGCTGATGGACGTAGCCCTTTATTCTTCCTCTTCAGTCCGAAGTTATCATACTCATTCATACCTTCATCAAACCTTAGTAAAATATTAACATAGACTCTTCCAAAAATGCTTTAATTTTTAGATAAATTATAGCATGGATACTACTCATCCGTAAGAATCATGAGTGCTTGATCAGCCTTAAATCGTCGGAACAAAACCTCACAGGAAAGCGATTGTGGTGGAGATTTTTCAAGTTTGTACCTCGCTGTTATTAGAGTAAAGCATCTTTTGACACGCAAGAAAGATTTTTTTCTCTTTAAGTTAAAAAAAGAAGGCGACAGGTAAAATGTTTGTTGTCTATATTTCGCAAGTGGCAGATACTTTTCAGAAGTTCTCCTACTCGGAGAAATTTGAGAAATTTCACTAATCGGAAATTAACTTATATCAATTAACTAGTTATTCTGATTTTGATCTCCCCAAAATGCAAATTAGCTTTGACTGTATTTAAGCTGAGGGTTTTGAATCTTTAGTTAAGAGACTTTCTGACAATCGTGTTTGCTGTTAGTATATTTTCGCCAGCTCTGCTTCAAATTAATATTCGAGTTGTGGCATACTCGCTAGCCGATGTTTTAAAGTTGCACGCCAGTAAAATACTTTGAGCCAAGTTATTTTTAGCTATTTTATGTGTAGTCATAGACTACGTTTCAGTGCTTGAATTTAATTGCCCGTTAATGTTTAATTGCCTGCTTAATTCAAATATCCACGAATAGAGGTTTTGATCGTAGCAAAAGTTCTGCCGTTATGTTCAATTTCGATAAAGATAATAAGGTTATTTTAAACTTCAGGAGTTCCGTTTGTTGCCTTTAGGCTAACTTAGGTCGAAAGTTGCTCAGTAGGTCAGTGTAGTACTTTATGAGTATTTAAGATGTAGCGATAGATCGCTATCTTCTCTAATAGGGTCTTTTCCATTTTACAGGAGTAAACCTACAACGCATATTCATAAACGATATTTAATTAAAATTTCATTCATGAGGAGGGATTATTCAATAGACGTGCATTAAATTTCTAACCACATCCCTGACTGGTTCTGCTTGATTATCTGCTCCAGTAAATTCATGACAGCAATACTCCATTGGTTACATAAACTTTTGAATATTCCGAAAGAGTAGTTCTATATACTGCTGTTTCAATTTTATATGAAGTAAATAAATGTAATAAATTTTAAACTTCTTGAAGATTTTTAAATTAATGGAATTGTTGTTCAAATGTAAAAAAGTGTAAATGTATATAATGTAGGTATTTTTTTAATATAAATCTGTACATGTGCATCTTCAGTGGCTGTGATGATTCTTAGAGAGCTTATTACTTCACAATTATCCAAAATTTAATTAAAATTAATTTTATTAATTTCAGTAGTGCCACTTTCAGAAAATTCAAATAATAATGAAAGTTTTTTTTTATCATAATCATTTAAATACTTATTTCATTCGTGATGCTAACATTGTATCAATAATTGCATGAAGAAAATTATTTCGAAAGTTGTCTTTTGAAATTCTTTTGACTGCTTATGTTTTCAGTGATACTACTCTTTTTCCGTCACTGAATGTCTTTCGCTGATTCAAAATATTATTCGTCATCACAAAGCTTTCCAGAATATATCTCCTTTAACTGCTTATTAAAAACCTTCATCAGAGGAGTAATTTTCTAGAAAGATCCACAATATTTTTATTGATGATAATTGTTATTGCTAATATTTTAATTATGTTTCGAATATTTTGATAGCAAATTTTATATTAACGAATTGATTGCTCCATGGTACGATTTAGCATAAAAACTTTTATTTTATCCAAAATACTTCCTTCCATTCAAATATTGCAAATAACGGTTTATTTCAATAAATTTCATGTAACAAATCACAAATTTCTTTCATTCAATTTTGAAGAGATATTACGACTTCAATATGACTTTCCTGTTATTTGGTATAACTGCAATTTCAAGTTCTCAATATCAACAACTGTGCATTTGTGATTTTGTTACTTCAAAGTACTTACTTCCGTATGGTGTTTTATGAAACATATTCTTTTAGAAAACATAAATGTACTTCTCTCAGCCTATGGATGAATAACGATACTGCAATCCGGTTTGAAAAGTCGGTTTGAGAGAAAATGATTTTTTTTTTCATTTTAAATGTAAAACAAACTTACAAATGTAAAATTTAAAATTAGCTCATAAAAGAAAAGAAAAACTTTTATTGGCATGTATTTTAAATAAAACTCATAAAAAAGTCTTTTACGTTTATCAAAAATTAGTTTTTAGCTTCTTTTTTTAAGTACAAACTATGTTATAAATTTCTTATCTGAATTATAGTTAGTCCTAAATTGATCTTATAAGTGTTATAAGGTATTTCTCCCGCCTTCTTGACGAGCCTTCGTGATGCAGTGGTCTGCACGCTCAGCGCGTAATGGAGAGGTCCGCGGTTCGATTCCCGGCGAAGCGTTGCTAATTTTTCATCTTTCCTGCTTCCAAAAAATACCTAATGTCTCTACAGTGTACACATTATTTATTAATTATTAAAGTCATAATATGATCCTAGGATGTCTCTGACTGAATTCCACATAATTTCAAACAAGAATCACAATTAACATGGTTTAAATATCCAATAGTTTCTTATACAGATGAACTTGAAGTAATTCTTCCTTGCTCCCTCGAATTCATAACTTTCTTATTATGTACGCATCCACAAACTGATTTTCACATGTCAGAGGAGTATTCGGGAAAATTTTTTTTGAGCTTTGGAATTCACCAAAATTTATTCATTTTAATTTATAAACTGAAATTTATACTTAGAAACCAAAACTTATAAATTGAACTTGAATTTAGAACTTTATGAGAAGTACTATGATAAATTAGCACAAGACTTTCTCCAGTGAAAGTTCAGAAGACGAAAAAAATTTAGAAATGCAGATAATATTTTTCAGGCGAAGAGATTCCAGATCAATTAAATGCAGAAAATATAAAAGTTTGCATGTTCAGAATTACATTTAGAAGTTCAAAAGTTTTATCCCCCTCTTTTAATGGTTTACTTTATGCTGCAAGGCTCGTCTTAGCACACGGGAACAGCATTAAAAGAAATTAATATTTATCTTAACTAATCACATGTGAAGAGCAAGACTGAGCTTAAAGCACATGTGAAATGCGTTTAGTTTGCATGTTAAATTACATTTTAAAGCTTCAAGGTATTGATATATTTTATCGATGTGTACACTACCAAGATACTACGGATATTTAATAAATTCCCAAGCACAACTTTATTACACTTGTGTCTGTACTTGAAACACTGAGAGAAATCATGCATAAATATAATACAATAAAAATGTTTTCGTCAACAAAAAAATAAATAAATTAGTTTCAATGAAATGCATGTGTCTTTTCTAAATATAATACAATAAAAATGTTTTCGTCAACAAAAAAATAAATAAATTAGTTTCAATGAAATGCATGTGTCTTTTCATAAAAATTATTAATGTGTCATATGATATTCAACAAAAATTAGTGTAATTTCCTATCATGAAATAACGTTTGTCAAAATTTTCCATATAGGAAATTTTGGTTTTAAATAGAGGGCAAATTGTAAAATCTGGAAAAGAACCAATGTGTTGCATAATGACAAAATACTGCTAGTCGTTTAGACGGACTGTCACTTGGACAGACAACATAAGTTAGGCAAACGTTTTTACCTAAAATTATTAGTTTAAAAATTGCTGTGCTAAATTAGAATTTGCTTATATACAATTATTTCATAAATAAAGTTTTTGTCAATAATAGGGGGCAGTGATGTGATATTTATTCACCATATCATCAACCTTTTCTCAAGGAAATATCAATTACTCAAATAAATGCAAAATTTTAAATTGTAAGGAAAACTTCATTACTTTATTTTAAATTTTATTATTCTTACTTTATCATCCGGTATCAAATCAAACATACAAATTAGATCAATATCTATTAGGAATCATTTAGAATTTGGTCAGCTATTAATTTCCAAATACCCAGGTATTCACTTTGCTATACTTTTTAAATTTTAAATGTTTACGAAACTTGTTTAATTTTAAATAATTTAGAAAGAACTTACTTAGAAATAATGTTAAGTAAAACCTGTGAGCTAGAAATATCACTTACATGAATTAAAAATATCAGCAGTCATCTGGATTTAATAGGCAGCGTTATGTTGTGTATATAAACAGTGACAGTAATGTAAGTATGGCAATAATGTAAGTACAGAGTGTATTTTATATCATCATCGACAAGGTTTTATTTTTCTAAATTTTACATTTAGTTTTTGTAATTAGCTTAGTAACTTGCCAATTTGAAGGAACATTCAGCAATGCCTTACTTCGTACAAGAAACAAATAACTAAATGTTCGTTTAATATATCTATAAATAATTTCATGTTAACATTAATAGGATAATAATTAATAAAATCTGAAAAGATTCTAATCACTTGATGCAAGTTCTATGCACACTTTCTCTTTGAGTTGCATTTTATTCCTATTTTATCAAAACATTATACTAGTATCCTTTTCATCTACACAGACACTTGGGCGTAACGGTCTTCTTCCGTGAAAAAGATCAAAGAAGTGCGTTAAATGTTTCTTATAAAAATATGGCCGAAATATCTTGAATGAATATGCATATTCATTAAATACGCTGAAGGCAAATTGTTGCTGCAGCTATTAGAATGCCATAATTCACTTGATAAGTATGTTATCGATTATTTCCCCATTTCCAGGATCTCATTGTTGGATAGTCTGTGCCCTGTTCAACTGAGGGTTGCTGAATCCTGCAAATTAAAAATAATATTTACATGTATTAGTAATATGCGAAAGATCTGGTTTTCTGAAAATGAACAATATTTTCATACATTTCAGGCAGAAATAATGCTAAGAAAATTTAACCCAAATTTCAAGAACGTTAATATGAATGCTAAATTTTAAAATTTTACAAACAAAACAGATTAAACGGTAAACACAATTTAAAGTTTTCATTAAGTAATCAAAACTCTAAAAGTTGCTTACCTAGTTCTGAAAGTGGAATTGAAGGTTTAGATATAGAAGAAATCTTAATGAGATCTTTTTCTTTGTGAATATTTCTCTCTGAAAACCAACGTCTTACTGGGCTCAGATATTCCATGGGTACTTCTGGCTTATCTGAAAATTAAATGCAATTACAAAAATATAATAGCATGAAACTATGATATAAATCAATACATTATTGAAATGCATTCTGGTTTGTTATATTTTTAATAAGAATATATAGCTAATACGTTTTACTTTAAAGCATTTTTCCTTTCATTATTTCATTAGTACCTTAATTCTTAAAAAGCTGAATTTTTTATAAAGGTTCTATTTTCCATAATGCGAACTTTTACCGCAATTTGTTATGATGAATTTTATAACTGTTTTTAAATGTTTATAGGCAACGAGCATTTTTCTAAGTGTCATTAATATACACTTCTGTTTGCAATTTTTTTCCTAAACGACTATGAATGAAATTTTATTTTATAATACCTCAAAATAAATTTTTTAAATATAAAAGTGCAAATAAAGATTTAACCCTTTTCGATCAGAAATCTACTTTATACAGTACTACAGTTTAGTTTACAGAATTTTAATCAAATATATATGAGAAATGAAAATGAAAAAGAAAGGTGAAAAATATCGCAAAAAGGCTTAAAGGTCCATGCAGATTTGAAGATTTTTCCTTAGTATTCCATGCAGACGCAAGGTATTATAGTATATCATATAACAAACTGGTATTATAATATATCTATGACAATCTATAATACCAATTTGGAGAAGAGGTAATTGTGTTGTCAAGCTCCTAAGGAATCTGAAGTTCAAGAATCGCACTCGTCGTTAATTTGTGTGAATTTAATAACATACAACAGAAGGCACTCACTTTTACTCTTGAAATAAGCGAGATTGCCGAAAACTTTTACCGTTGCACAAACAATGTGTACTTTTAGATTTCTTGCACTAATCATGGTAGACCTTCTGCTGAAACATGAAGGAAATTTGCACCAAAACATAATAACAGATTCTGTTTAAATGAATTCTAATCCAAAAAACGCTTCCTTTCGTGTTTTAGTTTTGTAGGAATCTTATGATTTAGAATTTTGAAACACCTTTTTTTTGCGTTTTAGTTATCCCATTTCTGCAGAAAAGGCCATTTTATCTAAGTTAAGTGATAATCGGTGATTTCCTTTTTCACCTCACTAAATGCAGAGAAAAAAAAATTATATCTGCACTTACACAACCCTTCAAGTTTCACTTCTATGCATTTCATGATTTCTTTTACAAATTATTAAAATTGTTATTTCATTTTTAATAATAAAAATATAATATTTTCCTAGAAACTCCTTTCATAGCGTATAAAATTTTACAACGAACTAAATAAATAAAAAATCAAGCAAATGATTATCCCACTGAGCTGCTTCAACTAATGCGAGAAAGAATCAGTCTAATTCATTTTTTCTTAGACCCGTATAACTATCATATCACGTGAAAGTGTAGTTCTCAGACTTTAAATTATTGTGCATGATAGTTGAACTCTATTCGAAGTCAGATTAAAATCAGTAAATATGCAATTTAAATGGGCATGTTGGAAAACAAGTTATCTTCATGTTCTTTGAAAATTAAATTGTTAAAACCCATCGTGCGCGGAATTGTTAAAGAACATGAGACTGGTAGGCCAGATGTAAGTAAAAAAAGAGGCTGTCATTTAACTTTTCACAAAAGCAAAACTGTTGAAAATGGTTGAAGCTAAGTCGGGAGAACCATCTAAAACACTGCATAGAAATCAGACGTTTCACACATGGCAGTTGATGTGCCATAAAAAAGAAATTTATTAGAATTTCAGAAAATTTAGAAAATCTAAAATACACTGTGGCCATACAATGAATTTCCTTATGTGTGATCACTTACAAGCCGCCTGGTTTAACAAATAACAATGAAACTCGAGATATAAGGATTGCCAGGTATGCTCTCAGCGATATGATTAATGACTGAGTTGTAATGGTTATGATTACATGAAGTAGTTTTGAACATTTCTAATATCAACATCAACTGTTTCGCTTAGTAATGTGACTTGCACAGTGAGAAACTGAATGGTATTTGTAGCTCAAAATCTGCCGGCATAAAGATTATTGGTATGGGAATAAATGAGGGAAAGAAATGAGATATGCAGAGGTATGGACGCATATAAATTGTATCACGACAATGAAATTGTTCTTAAATTTCAGAAACTTGCAGGTATTAATTACTGAATTCATATCTCGGCCACCGATCGTGATACCTCATGTAGACGTTCATTAGATATAACGAGAAATTAGTACCAGCTTATGTATGTACAAATTATGAAAATTAATGTATGAATAAATGACACAGTGAATCAATTTTGAATGTATTCAGTATTTAAAAATATATTTTACCCAGTTTAATTTATTATAGACATTAAGTTAAATAAAAAAATTAATTATTCTTAAAATCAAAGCATAGCAGTGGTATGAGTGATATGCTAACCGTGATATGCTAACCGTATCAGTGATATGCTAACCGAAAAACGAGGTTTTGATGCGTTTCCAGAGAAAACCCTGCGTCAAAAGTGCAGATTCCCTCTTCATACGTATAAGGATGTTGAAATGTGAAAACTGTTTAATTTACGCATTCCAAACGCAATTTTTTCCTTCCGCCAATTTCTCCACAGTACTAGTGAATTACTAGTGCATTTTTAAAACCATATCGTAAGAAATGCTTTAAACTGCAGTCAGTGCATTATTCTGCACAAAATGCTTCAATATCAGGAAATTTTATTAATAAAATAAGTCTTTTAAATCAAACTTAACTCGCACGCTTTTATGAAATCCACTCTCCTCTGCCGAATCATATTCCAAATTCAATGAACTTGTTTATTAACAATTTTATCAGGAAAGTACACTCATGTCCATAAATTAAGGATAATTCAGACTCACGCGGAAATCGAACTCTAAAATAAATATATAACCTGTAAAATCATTACACACATCTTCAAGAATCATATGCAAATTTCAGGAAGTAACCAGATGACACCGATGGTACTTCACAATGACGAGAGTGTAAGAGAGTGATGTATAAGGAACACAGGCGAAGAAGTAAAATTGTTCGCAGGCGCCTTATAAGCATTTCAGTGTAATAACCGAATAGTTATGACACAAAGGACGCATTTGTATGATTTTTTACGTGGTAGAATTATCGGCCGACTGGAATGTGGGCGTACCCAACAGGAAGTATCAGAGGAACTTGGAATTGCCCAGAGTGTCATCTCCAGGCTTTGGCAACGATTCCAAAATAATGGTAATGTGAGTAGACGTTACAGCACAGGTCGCCCCAGAGTTACAACGCCGAATGAGGACCGGTATTTGGCAGTTACTGCCAAAAAGGAACAGGCGGAGCACAACCTCAGACCTGTCTCGTCAGCTCTCTTCAGCCACTGGTACGACAATTTCAAGACAGACAGTGTACAGACGCTTAGGGCAGGTTGGTCTATATGCTCGTAGACCTGTCAGATGCGTTCCACTTACTGCAACTCACTGTCGCCTGCGGTTAGCCTGGAGTAGAGAGCATGTATTGTGGACACCGCAACAGTGGGCTTGTGTGATGTTTTCCGACGAGTCCAGGTTTAGCTTGCAGTCTGATTCTCGTCGGACTTTCATATGGTGAGCTCCAGGTACCCGTTACCACCAAGAAAACATCATTGAACGACACCGTTTTTGGTGGTGCAGGAGTGCTCGTTTGGGGTGGAATTATTCTGGGTTCCAGAACTGACTTGCATGTTCAAATTGGAACCATGACAAGCCAAATCTATCGGGACGTCATTCTGGAACAACATGTACGTTTTTTTCTGGCGCCATGGGCGCACAATTTGTGTTTATGGATGACAACGCCCGTCCTTAAAACATCGTAAGCGAATGACTTCAATCAGAGGATATCACCCGTATGCACTGGCCAGCATTCTGACCGGACTTGAATCCAGTACAGCACGTGTGGGACATGCTTGGCCGACGAGTTGCAGCCCGTCAACCTCCTCCTACATGTCTACCGGAACTTCGGAGAGCATTGCTTTTTGAGTGGTGTAATATCCCCCAAGATCAGATCGATAATTTGATACTCAGCATGCCTAGGCGTTGTACGGACTGTATTGCATCGTCTGGGAGACATACAATATATTAACAATCATACCAACCATGTAATATTGGTTTTTTGTAAAAAGGCTTTTTTGTAATTTGCTCCAGGGAGAAAAAATCGCTAATTTTTTTAATAATATAAAACATATAGCATCTTTTTTTGCTCCCTTACCTTTTGTTTAATAAATAAGCTTTACAAATAAGTCAAATTTGTTTTGCTTCTAACTCTTCCTTTGCCTGATTTTGCATTATCCTTAATTTATGGACATGAGTGTACTTCTAAATGTCAAAGATCTCAATATATCTGATTTTCCATAACGTTAAGTTTTCAATACGCATCCTGATCATGAAAAATTAAAAACTTCAGAAAGAATTTACAGCATGTAGAGAATATATGTTGTTCTTTTCTCCCCAAACTCCCTTTTATTTTATTCATGTAAATTTAGTAAAGAAAATGACCGTACTTACATGATTTTTGTATTGTTTAGTAAACTGAAAAGTCAATAATTTGGCACATTACTGAAATGCGAAGTAGTGAGGGAGAAATTAACGTAAAAATAATACTCTTAATATACTTTAAAATATCTTAGAGAAAAAACAGACAATTAAAATCAGCATCCAGTCGTAAGCTTGAAAAATAGCACAAATAACAAAATAAATTCTTGTATAAAAGAAACATTTGTTGACAAATACAGGTCTTTTATAAGAAAGGGTCAGAGACAATTGGCATAACTCCATCTGAAAGGGTGTTATTAAAAAAGAAACTTTCATATTTATTAACTTTGTATAAGGTAACAGTAACGGATTTCTAAATAAAGTACCTTTGATGAAGATAAAAACTTGAAAAATATATTACTAGTAGAAAAGTACGATATTGTTCAGCTCACCATTGAGCAATTCGATCAGCGTTGAAGAGATTATATATTTTTACTTATTCATTTTGAAATAATTAACCTAAACACATCGGTTGGAACCTTAATAAATGCAAATCTTCTTTGTAGACATTATGAAATGGGATAAGTGCTTCTTATATTACATTTTAATTCAATAACTAATCTACCTTACAGTAGACAGTAGTTACTACCTTGCAGTAGGACGTACAAGCTCCGAAACGAAAAAAAAAAAAAAGTAGTATTGTAAAAGTAGGCGGTTTAACGTCGTGTAGCCACAAAATAGAAACAGTGAAGTTGATGGAACTGTGGAAATGGAAATTAAGATCATATTCAAATTTATTTGGAACGCGAACGTGATGTTTTCTTACCTGGTTTTCTTACGCCATATCATTAAGCTGGATAAGATATAGGCCAGATTGTAAGAAGCAAAACTTATATGCAGTGCAAGTTGTATCATTATAGCTCATCACAAAAATAGAAGTTTCTTAAAAAGTATAAATTATGCTGGTGGTCCTGTACTTGATGGCATTATCCAAATGCTTAAAGACAGACAATGGATGCCCAGTATTGTTATTCATTTTCGATACTTACTTGCTATTAACATTGTAAAAGAAAAGGAAACACTACGGAATTTTCACATAATTTTTCAGGAAAATGCTTGAATGCATAAAGAGAAATTCATATTTGATTCGTTATGAGAAGTGCTCTACTATTTATCATATTCCCTGGAGCTTAGGTACTGAGACTTTGATCTGATTTGATATTAATCTGATTAAAATAAATGATATATTTACTAGAATTCCATTCTGAACTATTGCAGAGATTCTTCAAGCAATAAACCACTGTACCGGAATAATCAGATAGAGGTTCTTCTGCAGATATACTATAATTTCCGCCTCCCTGGAGACAGTCTACACATCATCGATAACTACATCGAAGAACAATAAATGCTTCACACAAATTTCTCTTTTGCATTACTTGTAAATAAATAGCTGCAAATATTAAAATTTTATCCTCCGTACATAGAATTTTCCTCATCAAACACTTAATATTGTGAATCTTGTGACAGACGCATACACAAATTAATTAATTTTTAAAATGCGAATGGATTGAAAAAGGAATGTAATTAATTAAAGAAAAAACTTCTTTTTTGTCAAATTTCACCTTCAGTCTCGACTTTTAAAATACCACCTGTTTTTACCATTTTGTTTCTGATGAGCATCAATAGCCCTTTTTCGCAGTTAATATACTGCAGAGTAACATGCATCACGATGAGCTGACACGGTTGTCATAAGCTTAGACTATTTACAAATAGCCTCTTGCCGTAAAAACAAAAATTGCTTTCTCTTTTTCTCACAAAACGAGGATCGCATTCCTTGCCCAATATAGGGCGTATTTATCGGCAAAACTTGTAAATTAATAGTTAATTATTTAACGCAAAAAAATGTATTTGCGTTTGCTTTCCCATCCATCCATATATCCATACATACACATGCACACACACATACGTATATATATATATATATCAGATTTTATTTTTATAAACTATTTTGTAATCTATCTTTGTTTCTTTCCAACGTGAACAAAAATTTACAAAAAGTGAGAACAAGAATTTGCAAATAAGTAAAAAAAAAAATGTAATGAATTTCTTACTTCTAAAGCAGAGTACAATGATGCTACTAATGTAGCCGATTACTAAACAAATAACCATCGCAAGAGGAGTTATCCACATATAAGACACATAAAAGGCATCCCTAAAAATATGAGATATAATTAATTTAAAAAATATACTCAATTTTCCACTTCTTCATATCATTTAATAGAAAAGCTCTGCAAATATTAAACAAAGGGGCATTGCACTTGGCTGCAGAATACACATAAGCTTCAATAGTAGTACTTAACGGGTTTTCCCCCTCTTAACATGAACTATTTTAGAAGATTATTAATAGTTTTTGAAAATCTAATTCTAAGGATATAGAAGTATTGCATCGTTTGTTTTACCTTCAAAAGAAAGATAAATTGAAAACTTTAGTCAAATATGATTTTTAGCATGTTACTTTTACATGTGACTGACCAAATAAATAGTCTAGTATTATTTTACTAATATTCTACTTGAATATGAAAAGCTGTTAAAGTTTCTAGCAACATTCTTAATTCACAGAAATTCATGATACATGAAGCTAAAAGAGTAATGTATTTTCAGATCACTTAAAAGTGTAAATACAGTAATACCCCGCTTAACGCTGTTTCGTTTAACGCTGTTTCGGTTTAGCGCTCTTTTATTTCAACCCGGGGATTCCACGAAATCGCTCGCAGCATACGGGGATTCCCCGAAATATTATGCAGCGATAGGTTTCAAATACATATCCGAAAGAGTGTACTTGTATTTCTTGTTTGGTGCGCTATTGTACAGACATATTTTGAAGGGGTAAATGTGGAAGATGTCGAAGAAAATAATTCAAGAAGCAGCGGCTAGTCTTTCTAATGATGAGCTCAAGGAATTAACTGAACAAGAAGAAAACAAAAATTTTGAGAGCAGTGATTCAGAAGAAGAGCAAAAAGAACTTTCGATGGCGTTTGTAAAAAGGAGTTTGTCTACCATAACTGAAATAATGGATCATTTCATTGAAAATGATCCGAATTTTGACAGGAGCTCAAAAGTAAGGCGTGGTGTTAGAGATGCTCTATCCGTTTATGAAGAACTTTTAAGAGAACAACGCAAAAGAAAAAGGCAAACAACATTAGATGCTTTTGTCACAAAAAGGCAGAACACACTGAAAACGCGGAAGGCTAACTAAATATGACTGACTTAGAATTTTACTTGTTTTTTCTAAGAATATTCGTTTTGTTATTTATATTTTGTTTTTATTTTTGCAAGAAATAATAATGTGGTGTTAATTTGGGCTTTAAGAAATAAATGTTTGGTTTTACTTTTATTAAAAAAAACATACTTTTTAAATTTAATACCTAACCAATTTCCTAGCCATCTTTCCCTAACCCCAATATTTACATGTAAAGATAGCCTCGTTTAGCGCTGTTTCGCATTACGCTTTACTTTGATGGAACGTATCCCCCGCGTTAAGCGGGGTCTTACAGTATATAGAAATCAACCCTCTTGCCCAGACTTTTCCTAAAGATTTTTTTTTCCTCTAGTATCTTTTTTACTTCATAAGTCTGTCCTCTGCAACTATTTTTTTTTAGACTGATGTCCTGGCTATTACTGTTGCATTTTTCTGTAGTAATATATTAAATTCAATCTTTCATTGATCAAAATTAGCATAATAATACAATATTTCCTAAAAGTAAGCTAAAACACAGTATATCTTCATTGCATTAGCATTCTATACGCTTGATTTTTAGGTTTTTTTCCCGATAAATCTGAATAATTTTTACAATAGTTTATAGATATTTCATTACTGCTGCAGTAGTGTCATTTTGCGCAAAAAGAAGCTCATTCTTGAATACATAAATAAATTTTAAACATTTGTAGAGAAATAAATACTTCGATTTATGCTGATATAGAACAAATGTTTGGGAGGTTATCAATTCAACAAACTACTCAGATTTTATTTTGTTTAAAACTTCCCATTCCTAGATTTTTCGGATGTGATCGCTATAAAAATAGGCAAATGAAAGAAAAGCTCAGACACTTGCGCTAACAGTTAGAAATCAACTGAAAATTTTGAGATTTTATTGTGTGACAGCGATGTGCATTCAGTTAGTATTAGGCTGCTGCACTGATCGATACACAGTTTAGCGCTGCTGGCTGCCATATCAATGGGTCCGGATTCAAATGCCGGAGCAGGCTTAGACGTTTGTAAGCGTATAGTGCCTTTGTATTTATAATTTAAAGCGAGCCGAAAGTCCCCTCGAGTAACTTGCTCGTAGGGGAAGAACGGAGGAGAGCCCTTGGACCTGTCCTTCCAGAGGACTCTTCTTCAAATCTAAAACTATATTAAACAAAGGGGCATTGTTATTTGAAACGTACCCATCGCAATCCTAAACTTCTCTCGACGATCAAATTCGTGGAATTTGGTTGATGCTGTTATCAAACAAGTACGATACATCAAAACAACAGCATTAGCGTGCAATATTATATGGGTAGATCAGGTAGAAGCTGTCTTACATTCTTGCAAGGTGCATGGGAATACATAGTTATTCATAATTCCCTGAAACAGTTCTAAGCAACTATCTCTGAAACAGTTCTAATAAATAAACTTCCCTGAACAGTTCAACTCCTTGAAACAGTTTTAACAAATAAACTATGCAACGGATACTAAATTTTATTGCACTGAAATAGGAACATTCCCAAATGCACAAGTTATTGATGCGCTATATACTTATGCAATAAAATGTTTTGTCCTACATGCAAACCAATATATCACATTCGATCTGAACCGTAGTCTCAGTTAAGCGTTGCAATAACACTTGAGATTGGCAAAGAGTAGAGGTACAAAAACTGTATTCTTGACATACCTAACTAAAAAAAGTGATATTGAGAATGAATTTGAAAACTGAGGGGAACACTTCATTAACGTATTATGACTTTATCTTATCCATCATAGAGAAGACAAATTTTGTTTGAGATGCTCTAAAAATATTATCTTTTATTATCAATTATTTTATATTTCTGGAAAATTTTTATCTAGATACTTTTTAACTCCGTTTTATGAGATCATTATTATATCTGATATATATCTGATATTTGAAAAGTCGCGAACAAGCTCAAAAATTAAAATTAGTAAAGAAAAACTTCTATTTGGTGAAGATTTAGTCAAAAAAACTCAATCGATTTCGAGGACAAGCAGGTCGCTCTTCATCAGGAGCTAAGAAATTTGCAAGACTGGAAAGCAACGAGCGTAACGGTTCTATTTATACCCTACTGCAGCAAAGCGAACAGGAAGGCAGCTCCTTCTGTCGGCAAAATTAGTAACGAAACTTTTACTATATTGCAGTAGAGTATAAATAGAACTGTTTCGTCCGCTGCTTTTCAGTCTCGCAAATCTCTTTGCCCTCGAAATTTATTGAGTTTTTTTTTTGGGGGGGAGGGGGGTCTAAATCTTCGCCAGGTACAAGGTGTTTCTTTCTAATTTGAAGCTCAAAAGTAGTTAATTTGTCATACATACCACTTTCGCTACATAATAATGACAATTTTAATAATTGCTACAGGTATAGGGTTGAGCGTAAAACCTCTACTGATTTTAATTGAATAAATGAAAGCTCACTAAAATCATAAGAAAATGGGTTAATTAACATAAAACGTGTTTTGCATTGGTCGCTAGTTACATTGCAGTTTGATATCATTACTATTAATTTTATTTGAATAGTATAAAACTTGCAACTTATTACTATAATCATTTAATAGTTCAATCCGTTCATGCTGTAATTGTTTGAATAAAAACTGTTTGAAACTTGTTTAAAATTTTAGTCAAATTTTGATTCAGTAGTACAGGGCAAGCCAAGAAAAAAATGTACTTCTTCTACTCATCTCTGCAATGAACATGCGAAAAAGGTTTATAAAGTTTATTGCAATACTTCTCGGAAGTTTAATGAAAGACCAGTTACAAATCACTGGATTAATTTTTTTGGTAAATTTAACCAGACGCAGTTTGGTTTGTGAATACTTTCAACTAAGGATGATTTTACTCAGAACAAAACCTCACTGAAAGTTAACAGTATAATTTAACTCTCAGAAGTAAACTACATATAAATATAAGAAGATCGATAAGACATTTGACATAAGACGTTTCGTTGTCCTCGTGTAGATAAAATTAAAGCAAAATTTTATGTTTATAGCCTTCAAAGTCTACATAGAAGAAACACAGTGTTCAGTGGGTCATTTACCTTGTATTAATCAAGCAGCAAACTCTCGTTTGAAAATACAAAGAAGTTTTAAAATAAAGATAACATTAATGAATTGTAGGAAACAGGGAATTTTTAGCTGTGCAGATGTAAGTTACCAGTGAGAAATAATACTTAAGTATTGTTATTTATTTGCATTTTTACATTACGTTTTGTGACTTGCCAATTTGTCTCTGACCAATTAAGTCAAACCAACTTTGAAGATTATAAAGAAACATGATATTACGAGTTAATGTAGAACAAACAACGTTAATATTTGGTCTGATGGGAAAAAGAAAGGGTATTTAGAAAATAGTAAAATAAATACTCACTTTTGAACATCACTATTAGTCGTATTGAATGAAGATGATGTTGGCGTTGTAAAAGCTAGAGTTGCGTTTATTATATTTGATGTTAGGTTTTGTTCAGGGCATTCGTTTGAGAGAGGCAGATTCTTGAAAGTAGGAGTTGGCATGAAACTTAGGTAAGAAGATACGGCGACACTTGCGATTATGCCAAATATTATTCCCTAAAAGGCAATGAATACATTTTAACTAAAAAACAGCCAAGTTAATAGCATATTGGTATTAAATAATAGCCTTTATATATATAATATATATATATATATATATATATATATATAATATTGTATGATCTTAAATTCACTTAGTTCGAAAACAAGTTATTCTAATACTTGCGCAATAGCTGCAAAGTAAGATAATAATAATTTATTTACTAATATATATATAAAGGTGAGGCTTTGCTCTACGCGAACAGGCAATCTCTAATTAACTTTCCGCAATTTCAGGATCTTCCCCCTATAAACCCCCTGTTAGATAAAGATTGGATCCCCGTAAAGTCTTTAGCTTATTTTCTAAAGTGAATTCTGCTCGCTTTAATATATTTCATTTTCCACTACTTCTGGCTAACACTTCTGGCGTACCCGCAATCTAACTGCAATAATAGGATCCACTAAGTCTATAAAAGCATCACAACGGCGATTATCAGTTCTTTTGTATCGCGACGACTGTATATATGAGTAAATTTTTCACCCACGTTAAAACAAAAATATAATTAGTTATTTTTTATTCACAAGTCTTAATTCCAATTTATTTAGAAAAAAATATTTTAACAAGCTTACTTTTATTAATTACGAATATAATTTGTTTAAATTACTTTCCATTACTCCCATAATCTCTATTATTAAAATTATTTCAAATTTATTTCACTGTAAAACTTTTTATTTTTACAATTCGTTCTTATTTATAATTTTTATCTTACATTCGTTCTTCTTCGTTAGAAACTCAAATTGCATTATGCAATAGAACTATTGACCATTCGCCCCGCCTTTTGCTTAATTTCCAAAGTCTGACGTTTTTTTAAATGTTTAGTTTGTTTTTACATATTGTACTCATATTTTTTATCATTCCTTAGTTATAATACAAATTTTTCTGTGCCTGAAAAGTTTGATGTTTATTTAGGAATAAATTACAGCCCACTACGCACTTGTAAACAGCGTGGTTTTGGAGGATAATTCTTCTCAGTTTGTTACCCATTTCATAACTTTGTCAATTAAAATTTATTTTTTTACTAAAATTCAGAATATTTTCCTATGTCATCAGGACTCCAACCACGTGCAACGACTACTACTACTTTTTAATGGATTTTGCTTTATTTTTACGAATATAATATTATAGTATTTCTTTTTATATTTATTCAGATAATTTTGTTTGTTTTATAATTGCAAACTGTTTATCAGCCCACATTCATTATACATAGCGTTTTCTTATTTTTACAAATGAAATTCAGAAAAGTGCGATGTTATTCCCTCATGGCCTTTCGGTATAGAGCAAATAACTAACAATTTAATCTAATATTCTTACTTCAATTAATTTAGTTTAGTCTCATTAAATTGTTCTTTGATTAGCTCAGAAGCAAGCTATAATTTTTACATTTCTCTGGACGTCAAACCCTCGATGAAGGGGACAAGAGAATGCACTTTTTTTTAGTTTTTACAATACCTGCGATGAAACCTAGCAGTCTGCACATAACTGGTTTAATTATATAAAAACAAAAATATCTTGACATTCCAAACATATAAAATAATTAGATAGGCCATTGGAAACAAAAGAGTTTGCATAAATAAATTTTAAGTTACCTCTTCATTGGTTGTTGTCGTGAGAGATGCTAGGAGAAATACCGCTAGATTAGGACCAGCAATCATTCCAACCACTACAATTGTCGTTTTGAGAAGATTCCCAATGGAAGCTACCAAAAACGATAGAGCTATACACAGTGCACCATATATTAAACCTGAGAAATAAAAGGAAGCATAATATCGTGTTTCTTTAAATAGCACCATAAAAATACTGTGAATGTTCAGTTAAATTTCACAGACGCAAACAACAATATTCAAATTACACTAGAAACTGCGTCTGAGGTTACCTGGACCAATGTTCGAATAACTTAGCAATCATTAGTCATGATAAAAAATTAAGTATGTGATATATTTCAGAAATCTGCAATCTTACTATTTAGATTTCTTTTTTAATTAGGGAAGTCATATAGGATATTTAAAAATGAAATTGGCTAAGTGTCTCTTAAGTTAAAAGTAAGAAAAGAATTAAAAATTGAATTTTCAAACGGTAATTTCTCACGTGGCATCTTTATTTAGTAAAAGTATGTACCATTTAAATTTTTCCACTGCTTTTAACAAGGATTCATTTGGAAAGTGTCTCCTTATTTTTCTAAAATAAATCATACCTGTAATTTGCATATTGATGACAAAAATCAAATTCTCAGAATTATGTGTTTTAAATATTTTTGAACCATGAAACAAAAAAAAGCAAAACTATCGTTTCAGAAGTCGAATAAAGAAAAAAATGTGTTAAACATAAAAAATTCACATTAATAATTACAAGTGAAAAAACAACCCACATTTCCTTTAATTTTTCTGATCTAAAATGCATGTTTTAGAAGTTTGCGTTCGACACTTACACACAGTATTGTTAGTAACATCTTACACTATTTGTGCAAGGTCTTCAGAACGTTTAGTTAGCTTTCGGCAGTATAAAATTTTTTACGTGTTTGTTTATTTGATTATTTGACCGATTCGAAAATGAAAAGCATTTTCTTCGTTAATTTTTTCCAAATATTCTAAAAATTTAAATTCTTTACATATTAATAAGAGCCTTCCCATGAGCAGCGTGGGTATAATCTGAAAGATTTATCTTGTTTGATATATTAAGCTATGAGCTCACAATCATTTGTTCAGGAAATAGTCAGCTATATAATTGTTTTCAAATACTTTATTTAAAAATTGCTTTTATATTACGTTTTCGCTGTTAGTTTCATAGTTTATTATTTATTATAAAGCTGAAAAACATCATAAATTTGAAATTGGGATAGCAACACACTGAAATAACTTCTGTCATATTAAAGTAAAAGCAAAGTGTTAAAAATAAGCAAAAAATAAGTCATTTTAATAAACAAAAAAAGATAAATAAATCATAAGAAAATAATTCGGCATTCATTTCAGCATGAATAGTATAGAAAAGTCGGATTATCTGTGGGCTCATCAGTACTCACGGCGAGACATGTTTATAAGGTATTTCTCCCACTTTCCTAGCGTGCCTTCGTGGTCTCTGCTGGAGGGTAATAGTGGAGGTTGAACCTCCACGACGTGCCCGAAGGCAGAGTCGACCTGTAGTGAGATTTAGTTACTCGGAACAGGGAAGCCGAAACCCATAGTCCGTGGTTCGATTCCCGGCGAAGGCGTTTGCTATTTTTCATCTTTCCTGCTTCCAAAAACATACCTAATGTCTCTACATGTTTTTAAGGATAAACGTCGTATTACATTTACATGTTCTCCTCGGTTAATGTTCTACTGATATGCTTTTCTTAATTCGAATATTAATTCTAACTTATTTAAAGCTCCATGTCCTGTAGCAAATAATATATGAGTTTAAAAATGGGGCAAATTTAGGAATTCATATAATTAAAATTTTGTTTCACGTTATAAAAATTGTCGGGGATATTTAAATTATGTACAAATTAAATAGAAAAACAGAAAGATAAGCCCTAAAATTTATTTTGAATAACGTCTTATTTTTATGTTAATTCTTTTCTGTACCTTCTGTTTCTCACACCGACCTTCACCAATATATAAATTAGTTTAAGCAGAGGACGAAACTGTGATTTTGAAATGTGCAATGATCAACACTACAGTGGCTTGTTGGCCTAAGAATAAAAGACATCCATTTACCCAAGCTGTAGAGTAGTAAGAGAATATTTCATTTTGTTTAGAGGTCGGAATCCTCTTCTGTTATACCCAAATTATTTAAATAAAAATTAGATTATGTACTTGAATCGTTGAAACACTTGAAAATAATGTTATTGTTTATGAAGCAATGAGGAGTCGTCAAAGGCTCTTTCAGCTCAGCTTTCGCCTCCCATCTGTGTTATTGAAGTTAAGTTAGAGTTCTGTTTTGTTGCGAAGACAGAATTCATCGGAAAACGAAAAGCTAATCAAGTGCAATTAGATAACTAATTAAATTTGGACTGACAAAGTTAATTAAATTTCATTATTCATTAAAGCTAACTAAAATGGTACTATTTATAAAATCCTTGCATACAGATAAGAATATAAATACTAACTTATAATTTTCGTTATAAAAACTGAATTTTTGAATCTTGGCCATATGGGTTTAATGAAATCCTCTGCCATGACTGCAGCAAAGGAGTTCAGTTCCGATGAAATTGTACTCAAGGAGGCACTGAAGATGCCAGCAATACACAGACCTGGAAGACCTGGATAGCCACTCATTGTAGTTGCAATATAATAGGGCATTAGCTGTTAGAGGAAAAATATTTGCATTATAAATATACTTTATATAAAATATAAAAGTATCATACAGTTACATCAAAATGAACTTTTCAAGCTTAAAAAACGGCATTCCTCTACACTTTGTTGACTGCTTCTCAATGCTACCTTGAATAAAAAGACCAGTCAACATTTTATTAGCCGCTTATGCTTTGGTTTTCCTATTTATTGTCGACTTATTGTTTTATTAGCTTGTATGAATAACCATATTATTTTTCCCTTTATGAAGGGGATATTAAAATTACGTATTATGATCTCCAAAAATTTGAAAGATAAAATATACATTTATGATAAAAATATGTAGTATTATCTAGGTAAATACAAAAAAAATCATACTTTTTTCATTAACATTTTTTTTCATTATCATTATTTTTTCATTTTCATCATCATAACGTTTTTCATTTTTCATTATCACATATTTTAACTATAATGGGAGCTTATTTGCTTATGCAAATTACTGTGTATCTTTCTGACATATCACGTATTCATGCAAGTAATTAATATTAAATGATTTTTATGAAAAATGGTACTTATTAACTAATAACAGATTTAAAATGCGAAGGATTGAAAAATAAATTTGTAAATTATAAATATATCATATTCACTCGCGTTCATATTCTTTTAGAATTAGAATAAATGCCCAAATTGTGCACGAGGTATTTGACTTCTGTGTATCTCAGAGCATATTTTATTCGTGTAATGCAAAGTAGGAATTTTTTTAAAAAATTATTTGCTCTGAAACTGCATAGAATTTAGGTTTAATTAACTAGAAAGTAAAACAGGTTCTGATAATTGTATTCACATATGAAACTAGATGAAAATCTTTTATCAAATTTTCATAAAATATTCTTATATATATTCTTTACCAAATAATAAATAGGCAGGATGGTTAATTAAATTGCATAGTTAAATGTCTCTTTAATTTTTTATCATAATCCAAATGGTTCAAGTTTAAGAAACAAATCAAACAATATAGACTTTTTGACAAAACTTAATTTCTAAAATTAAAAGTGCTGAAACTTGTGGAATACTATTAGAAAAGGGAAACATAAATATATAAATAAAATAATTACAAACCAAACAATAAATTATGAGTAGTTAAAATTAAATAAATTATAAAAAGATAAATGAAATATCAATAAAAAATAACACGATAAATAAACAACTGAATATAGCATAAAATATAAAAAATAAATATAGCATAAAATTTATACGATAGAATATAATAAATGAAAAATGAGTAAATTAATAACAGTAGAGTTGAGGAAAAAAGAAATCTTTTGCGTTGCCTTTTGAGTAACAATTTATCTCTCAGTGTGATTTCGAATCCATTTAAATATTCTTGACCAAATGAATTTAGTTCTTAAATATTCTACTTTTTAAACGAATCATATTTTGTCATAATGTATTTCTTCCCTACATTAAGGTTTCCGACATATTTTGCTTTTCCCGGGGAAAATGAGGCCTACATTGAGTAGTTACTTAAACATTAGCTTTAAGAGCTGCTAAGAAAATTAGAGGAATTTACTTTCCTGTTAATATAGATATTCAACTATGAAAGTATGCGCCGCAGCTCCTTTAATTTTAGACTGAAGATGAAATTGACATTTGTCACAAAAACTAAGAAATACTGGAGCTGAGCTTCGATATCTCAGGGTGAGTTTAAACTCTGCTTTCAGGCTATACAAATTTTAAACACGCAATACCTCTTAGAAAACATATACGACATTTAAATTTTTATATAGGTCCATCAAATGAGTAAAATGAGTAAAAAGTTAAATGAAATGAGAAAAAATTTGGTAACTCGTTTCTTAGCCTGCTGCTACTACTATTTTAGGAGAAACGTTTGCTTAGTAATAAGCAAAAAAGCTATAAAACAATTGCCTAAATTCTGTGATCCCTGAAAACCCGAAAAAAAGAGAAGTACCCAAGCAAACTAATTTAAGGTTCATACGAAACTAAGTTTCACTTAAATTTAGGATTCTACCACTACAACAAATGACAGCTCGAAATTAGTGGTTTGAAACTACTGTCTCGTTAGCGTAAAATGTATCTTTTGGAAATATGCATTCAAAAATGTAATTTAATTCCAACGCGCGAAACTGTCTGTAGCAAATTCTGAAGATAAGCCGTTTTAAATGTTTTGTGGTTTTGTTGTTGAATGGAATTTTATGTGGCGTAAGAGCCAAGAATGTGATATTTAATAAATAAAGTAAACACAAAAATCATTAATAACAGAAGACAAAAAGAAATAGAGAAAGAAAACGACAATTAATAATTGATAAGCTAAAAGAACAGAAAAAATGGGTTAGTAGGAGTGAGTGTAACAGCAGACTGGTAGATTGGGAGCTTAGCGAGAGCGAAAAAAAACTTTAACAAACCCCTTTGGCCGACTGTGAAAATCTGAAACCTTTCAGATTGTGTTTAACCGTTTAATATATTTTATTTATTAAATTTGAACCATGGCTCTATGACCCACCTTTTGAGGGGTCTGTACTTATGCTATCTTTTTAAAAACCTGATATATTTATCTTAATACTTTTTTAGCTGCAACGCTTGTTGCAAATATTAATTTACATATCTGATCCAAAACCGCTTTGCCTATTCTATAATGATATATATATAAATAGAGAGAGAGAGAAAGAGATAATGAACTAAATTATGCCAATATAATGCTAAAAATCCTTTTTAAATTATGAGTTCAAATTGATACCAAGGTACTATTTACTACTTTTTTAGTTTTTTGAACTCTGTCACACATTGCATAACAAATAAGAAAGAGTAGCTTCTGCTACAAAAACTCACTTGATCGGCAGATTGAATTGGCTTTTCAGGTGAAGTCATAGGATCACACAATCGGTAAGTTGCATAGAAAATAAGTCCACATAAGCAGCATAACAAATGAAAAGCTACCAACATTGGTGCGCTAAGAACTGTGGCGCTAAAAGAAAAGATGTATTCACATTATTTGGTTTTCTTTAATTAAAGCAACTAGGGAAACCAAATTCCCAAGTTAATTTTAATCAACTTTTCCATGACAAATTGATAATGTACCGTAGTGATTACTTATTTCTTTTTTAAAACATTTCTCTATACTGAAAGAAAAGGTCATCAGTTTCCGGCAAATGATAACATTCGAAAATAATACTGTCATTTTGAAGATATAATCCTGGTGCACAAGGTTCCAGATTCTTAAAGATATATGAATATAATAAGGAAAGTCTGACATAACAGTGCGTGTGGATTCAGTGCGTGTTTTTGTTTTCAGAATCAAAAACTGTTTAATATAAAATCCGAAGAAAGTACAGGTGTTTGGAAGAAAATTTAGTGTCCCAAAATTTCGACGTTGGAATGCATGCTCAAGTGTCAAAATTCACCTATGCAAATTTCCAGATTGTGCTTGCGACATATAAAACTTCGTAAAAATACCAACAGTATTTATCATTTATTAGTTGCAAACTCGCGAATTTTGTAAACTAGTCTTCAGTGTCATTAATGCAAACCAATAAGAATTATTCAAAATGTAAACACAAAATTACGCTTATAGGCCGCTTAATGCAGCTTTCATTTTCTGAAGCTTTTTGCACATTTCATCATTCCTTCACTTACGTACTTATGAATGTTTCGAAAATATTTCATGCTGTGCATTACGACCCAGCTCTGACAATGCAGTGGCTGGTCACCAGTCATTAATGACCGTGCCTAGCTACATCTGATAAGAGCTGTCCATGCTAATAGACAACCGAGATAGCGTGAATCGACAGCTTTCAGTGCAGGAGAGACTAGAGGAATATCTATGCTGTCGGTACTTTTAAGTTTAATGTTAATGGGAAATTGCGCTAACGGACCCACGAATGTACTTTTTTTAATAGCAATATATTGGACGTGCCCTCTCACATAGGCTCATAAACACACTAACTGAATTTAAAAAGTCAGAAAAAAGTAGCCTGGACAGATGACTCGATATACCAGCTGTTACGAGCCAACAGCTCGTAACAATCATTGAAAGTGCGGTAGGTGGTAATCGCGAGAGCAATGCAAGGCATCCCGAGAGTCCGATAACTGGTAATAAAACCGTAAATTGAAACTATTAACAAGGCACGTTATAAACTGATGGTGACTCCATAATGATATGAGAGTATGTTTTCATGATATGGTTCTTCTGCTGTGTTGCACATGTCATTAAGTAGAAGTAACTACATTGAGCTACGTAACGACCATTTTCAGTTTTTTTTATATTCCATATAACCGAAGAAAAATGAGATTTTTCAGGGCGACAAAGCGCAATGCCATCGGGTTAGGATGTTTAGAGTTTGCTTTTGTAGAAAATTACCCACTCCTATACTAAATGTTTTGGATAACCCCGTTTGCTAAACATGAACCTAACAGAACATCTATGGAATACGATCGAAAGATTTAGCAACTAAACTATTACAGAAAGCACATAGTCTACCTGCGATTTAATACCATTTTTTGCAGATAATCTTTAATCTTAAATAGAAAACCACTAAACCCAATGTAACTAATACGTCTAAAATATACAAATTATCAATTTATCAAACAAAAGGAAGTGGTTAATTAAGTTCACATATAATGGTTTAAAAATATCGTCATGAAGTAATAACAATTTACAAAACTATGAATTAAAGTACAAATTTCCATGTGATGCATAATGTTAAATAATATCTTTTAAATTTTTCATCTATTTATTTATTCTTTACACACAGGTGGTAATTTTTATTGCCTTTATTTAAAATATAAGCGCACCTATCAAGCAAAAACCTGCTTGTGTTTCTGGATATATGAACCGACCTCATAGAACTATCTAGTGAGCTGGTAAATCTGCTAGTTATCTGGGCACTTCCCCGAACAGTACTCTCGTTGATGAAATGGCTAAATGACTGGGCTTGGTTATTCTCGGTGAATACCTGCGAAGCAAATGTCCGGTCATTTAACCAAGAAATATTTGAAGAAAGAATGTAAAGTATTTACTTTTATGAAGATCTGTATGTTCGTTATTTTTATTTTGTCTATAACACATGACTTAAATTTATAAAAATAATACGATAATGATGGGAAATTATGGCTGTTTCAGAACCAATTCAGGGACACTTGTGATTTTAGTGATCACATCTTAAATTTAATTCTTCAGAAGATTCAACATAGTATACTTTTTAAACGAAATGTTATAATTTCAAGTATTAAAAATATTTTAAATCATAATCTAGGAATTTCATGATTTTTTTTACAGTTTATCTTTTTGGAAGTAAAGATCAATAATATTTTGAAACATAATATGATTGAAACAATTTGTAACAATAAAATTCGCTGCATAACCTCCTTAAATAAGCTCAGTACTATCTTAGACTTAACCCTACTAGCGTTATGGACAGAAATTCCGTATGGAAAGTTGATTTTCGTATTCATTATACATAAAAATTTCTGCAAGCTTTTAGGGTTGGAAGTCTATTGAAAGAAAAGAAATCAAGGTAAAAAGTGAGAGATTAGTTTCTTAATTATAATCAAGAAAGTACCATTTATTCATGGCATTTCGAGGAGCTTTGAAATTTTAGGGCTAAATCCGTAACTCTCGAAGAATTATTGTAAAAGGCTTCCTTAAAAGAAATCTTGCTTTATGATAAATTTGATAGATGAAGAATAGTATTAGTCATTATTTATTATATAAAAATAGATTAGAGAAATCGCATTTACTTTTTTGTTTTGATAGGAATGTTACAAACGTTAAACTTTAGGCTTGCTGAGGAAACAAAATCTTCATTTCGTTGCTCTTCATTCTTAACACTAACTGCAAATAGGAAGATTAATTTCATGCAACTCTTAATCCATTTACATCTTTCTCTATTCAAATTTATCCCGAATGGTGTTAGTAATAAGTGTATACTAATAACACAGCATCAAAACTCCAAGTAACATTTCAAGAAAGAACTTGTAGTTTTCTGCGGTATTTCTCGCACTATAAGGAAGGTTATTCATGGAATCGGAAAAGAATTCATCATCTAGAAGTTGATATTTTAGATACTGTCTAGATTTTGAGAGAATAATATTTCATCGTCGACTGATTGTTAATATTAATTAAAGAAACACTGTTTTGGTCATTCTACTATGCAATTAAGTAAGGAAAATTTCAATAATTTAGATACACCCGAGATTTAGCAAAAGTTTTGTGAGCGTTGATCAGAGATTTCTAAATACGTTAACATTGAATAAGTGACTCTGAATCCACAATTATATACAGTATGAAAATTCCTATGGGTATATAACGTTCATAAGCAAGAACAAGACGATAATAAAAAGGCACTTCAAACCAAGTAGTCTGGCAATTCATTTTAACAAAAATTTTTATTCTTTAGTTAATGATATTAATTTTTCAGTCCAGTTCTTCCGAAAGCTTTCAAAATTCTAATAGCTCAGCTTTTTTGCGTTTCATTACTATACTCGTATGCAAAATTAAAAGAATATGCACATTATCTCTATTTTCTGAAAACCTAATGGATAGATTTTACTGAAATTTGATAGGAATATACATTTGTAACAGAAAAAGAGATGTACCAAAAAAGAGATGTAGCTTTATTATCAGTAAAGCTCATACTGCAGGAATGTCTAAAGTCCGCGTTGTGATACCCAAATTAAAATTAATCTAATATGGGGTAGAATCTCTTCTCACAGCCAAATAAATCGCGCAGTATGAAGGCATAATAGACCAGAGGCAATTGAGGAGTCCCTGTGGGAATAGATCCTATTCCTGCAGCAAGGTAGGTTTCAACAACGGACTCTGCAATGATTTTTCGGCGGAGGATTGCGAGATGAAATTGTCTTCCCAAGAGAGTCCCAGATATGCGGTATAGGGTTAATGTCATTAGATCTGGATGGACAATCCATGCGGCGGATATCCTCACTGTCCAGGTAATCATTGATAGGCTGAGCGTTGTCGTCCATTAACAAGAACCCAGAGCCAACTGCGCCTCTGAAAAGTCCAACATAGACCTCTATTCTCTATACCCGCATAGCAGTCAGGAAGCCTTTGTCCAACATATCCATCCAAAATAATGCTCCCGTAATATAATGCCTACCTCCACCCTTACACCTCCACCACCACATATTGATCCATTTCCGTGATAAGGAGAGCTGGTATTGTGTTCCAGGCGCTCTTCAGATACAGGTAAGCCGAGAATCAGTGCCCAGGATGAATTTCAACTCATCTGTAAAAACGCACGGTATTTCACTGAAGTCTGATCCAAGGCGCATATTATCTGCACCATGCTAAACGCACTCTCTCGTGTACTGCAGTGAGCGGGACGAAACCTACGAATCTTCTCGCATACAAACCTATCTCATGAAGCCTTCGGCAATTGTAGATCATGAAACTCGTGTTTCAGTGGCAGCATATGGCTCACAAGAGAATTGTGAAGCTGTAGGATTTCTGTACCACTGCGCTGAAAGTGCCAAATTACTCTTTTGTTCAGGTATTCTCGGTATGGATCCACTATCCTGAAATTGTTTCCACAAATTGCAGACGATACTGACGTTACACTGAGCTCTGCGCTTATGACTGGTCTGCCTCCAATCTACCAACAATTCTCCATCTCATTCCACCATCCATATGTTCTTGACTACTTATTTTACCTGACACCTTATAAAATTTACTCAACTATTGCGAGTAGCTTGGCGAATGTTCGTAAAGGTGCATAAGCACACAAATCGTCGTAAAGCCCTCATGCTCTTATATCCCCTGCACAATCATAGCATTTTACACACGCACTTGTACGCTTACGTACTCTAAATATTTCCATAATTCTTCGGCAGCGTAAGTAATACCTTTGTTTCAATACTTTTCGTGAAAATAGACATAACTTGCAAATTCTCTTAATTTTTCGCACGAGTGTATTACTTTAAATGTTGTTTTAAGAAAGACCAGTGGGTCCTGTTGACGATGTTAACCAAATTTGCAGCGCCGTTATTCTGTATGCCCTGAGCCATATGGTTGTATACACTAAGCGAATGGCCGATCCATTTTTTCAGCAATTTCGGTGCGGTGCTCAATATTGTGAAAATTGTCTGCCTTCCTTCATTCATTCAAGTGTTCTAATGTTCATTCCATGTTCAGTTAGTGTTCGTTGAACGACACTTCATGAAGTGTTCTTCAATGAATGAAGCGAATTTCGAAAAACATAGAGATAGATTAACTTTCTACTTTCAGTGCATTAAAATAAATAAGACATTTTAATGCTTACGTTTCGGTTTTGTGTCTCTAATTTAGAAAAATTAATTAATGAAATTTCGTACTATTATTAATGGAAGCCTAAATTAATGGAAGATTTCGTGCAGCGTTGCTATTTATAATAACATATCGAAAAACATTAAAACAACTTACATGGTAGCTCGTTTACTGTTTTTGAGTGTCAGCATTCTTTGCACTTGAACTTGATTTCCAGCATAAGCGCTTATTGTAATCACTAAACCAAGGAAAGCTACGCTAAATATAGTATAGTGAGCTTCTGGGTCGAACGAGACTCTGAGAAAAAGTGATGTATTATTTATTCACATTTTGAAAACAGTATTAAACCAAAACAAAAATAAATTTATACAAACAGTGCATACTAAGAAATAATGAACTTGAAGGAATAAGATGTAGGGATCCTCCTTTTTATCTATTAACTATGTGTGCAGGAACCTAGTAAACTATTAAGCGAATAATCGCTTAAATCCAGAAACAGAAACGTAAAAGTCAAGAAGGGTTAATCATCCTTTATTGCCTCCACAACAAAGCCTCCACTTGGGCTTAAACTCAAAAATATAAGAAATAGGAACTTAACTAATGACTAACTAAAGTGATTTAGTCGAAGCTAACGCAATTTCTAACTAGTTGGCCCCTAATATTAAATTAGCGAAGCTATCAAGGGCACGTAATGCGGTCGAGCGTAGTAACAGCTTAGAGGTAGCCAAAAACGCAAACGCGCGCTATTCAGGAAATTGAATTCTCTCTACCGAAGTCAGTAGAACTTCGATTTAAATACTACTCCTTCTCATTTGCATTTAACGCGAACCTAAAACCTCATTCTAGTAAGGAATTGTAAGCTGAAATTAGGAGAGATAGGAAAGTGTGACAAACTTAAAAATAACTGTTATAAACTTAGGATAAACCTTACGAAGGAGTAAAATAATAATTTGATCTCTGAATTCAAACTCGAATCAAAACCCTCAGAAGTTAGCAACCAGCCATTACAAAGACGTTATTTATTTCTGAAAATTTGAGAAAGTTTGAAAAAGCTCCGGAGATGTTTACACTGTTATTATAGCGAAGTTTATTATTTACCATGTGTTTTTAGAGTTCAGTTTTTGTCGAACTGCTCCTCATTTCTTGTGGTTTTGCTTGAAATTTCGTTTCAGTATCAAACATTTAATCGTTTTAATCCTGCAAAGAGTTTCTACGAATTTTTGTAGGTTTAGTAAGTTTCACAAGAAATTCATCTAATCGCGTGGCGAATTTCTACAAGAAATTTGACTCCTGGCTAGCAGCTAAGGGTTCCTCAGGCGTGTTTAAACGTTTTTGCTGCATATTCAAGGGATTTTTTTCGATACTTCCTACAATAGGCGACAAGTGCCTCAATACATTTACATCATCTGGAATTTTTAATCCACTTCAGTTTACAATAAAACATTTTATGTGAGAGAGCGCACTTAATGTATCTAAGCTTCATTTTGCATTCTCAAGATGAATTATGATAATGCTCAAAATTGTGGCTCTGGCTCTATGTCACTCTTAAACTTACAAAGTGGCTCATATTTGTTTTCGAACACTTATGTTTCTCAATTTCATTTGCTAACATTATAAGGTATTTCTCCCGCCTTCTTAGTGTGCCTTCGTGGTGTAGTGGTCTGCACGCTGGGCCGATATTGCAGAGGTCCGTGGTGCGATTCCCGGCGAAGGCGTTTGCTCATTTTTCATCTCTCCGGCTTTTCCAATTAACCTAATGTCTTTACAGTGGCGCCCGAACTAAAGGGGTGGTGGATGATGATTCTCCCCACCCATGATTTGGCAATTGGGTCCTCTAAAAACCACAGTCGCCCTTTGAAGGGGGGAGTATATAAGGTATTTCTCCCGCCTTCTTAACGAGCCTTCGTGGTTTAGTGGTCTGTACGCTCAGAGCGTAATTGATCGGTCCGCGGTTCGACTCCCGACGACATGTTTATAAGGTATTTCTTCCACTTTCCTAGCGTGTCTTCGTGGTGAAGTGGTTCTGAACGCTGGGCCGGTATTCCAGAAGTCTGTGGTTCGACTCCCGGCGAAGACGTTGCTAATTTTCATTTTGCCTGCTTCGAAAAATACCTAATGTCTCTACAACATCATTTACTAAAAATTAGTGAAATGACTATCTTTCTACTACATATGCTACAGACGATATTTTATGAAACCTGATTTTTTTTAAAACAAAATTATTCAAAATATTTTTGTTAAAACACTTTTTACTTTCGAAAGCTCTGAAAGTTAACTCGCATAAGTATTTGGGCATTTTGAAAAGTTTCTATTTAACAAAATAATGAAAATAACTGGATTTCAATATTTCCTCACATATTCTATAACAAAATTTGAATTTTTCAAGTGCTTTGGAATAGGCTCAACTAATAATTTTGAGTAAAAAATATTCTGCTTAGTTTCATTCATCTGTAAGAATTGCTTTTATTACATCTTTGGGAAAAATATCCTGTTTCCATTGTCTTTTCTCCAACTCACCTTACGCATGTTCGATAGGATTTAAGTCCGGAGAATATTCAGGATTTTAATAGCTTCAGGACGCTTGTGTAATAGCCAAAAACCAACATTTAGGGCTACATGTTAAAACCGTCATCCCGATGGAACGTTTTTCATTTTTCCACTTTTTTAATTCCAAGTTTTGTTGCAGATGCTTTCGTGTTTTCATTAATAATATTCATATATTTATACTGATAGGTAATATTTTCTATAAAATCCAAATTTCCCATTCCAGAAGTAGCGAGACATCCCCAAACCATTATGTCTGCAGCCCTCGTGCTTAATGGTAGGCAATTACGTTTTTTAATCTAATACACTGGTGTGCAAAACTTAAGCAACAATGTAAATTTTAATCAGATAGCCATGAAATTGTAGAAAAGGTGTTCTTGCGTTCAGTACAATGAACACACAATTCAGTAGAAAGGTCATGCGTATACAAATGTCAAGGGAAAAAGGTCACAGGCTACATGAACGTACGCAAAACGCGTACGGTCGGCACGCTCATCTCGAGATTACCATAAAAGGAAAGATGGAGATGCAGTTAAAGACATTCGCTGCAAGTGCAAAGGAAATCTTTCGTGAAATATGGCTAGAAGAAATGATCTGGATGACTTCACACGTGGAAGAATGATCAAAAATCTGGAGTAGGGGCGAAATGTGACCAGTATAGCTGAAGAGTTCGGAATCAACAAAGTGGAGTTTCGCGCGTTTAGAAAGCCTTCGATACCATAGGTACAGCTATTAGAAAGGTTGGTGGTGGCCGTTCCAAAAAACAACTGCAGCAAATAACCGATATATAGTTCTGCAGACGAAAATAGTCCGAAACCAGCCAGCAAGCGCCACAACTCATCAACTGTGAACAGCAACGGCCGACAATTCTCGTGGTTTACTGTGTCCAAACACCTTCACAAAGGTGGCCTATGCGCCTGCCGTTCTGGAAGCTGCATCCCTTTGAAAGTTGGCCATCGGCATCACCTTTTACAGTGGTGCAAGGAGCGCAAAAACTGGGCATCTCATCAATGGAGTCGTATCCTCGTTACGGATGAGAATCGCTTTAGTGCCACAAGCAATTCTCAACAGAAATTGATTTGGAGAGAGGTCGGAAACACGGTTTAATCTCAGCTACATTACGGAGAAAACCGTTACGGTGTCCTGAAGATCTCGTCTGGAGAGGCATTATGCTGAACGGGCGGACGGAGTTCCTAACCGGAGATCGCTATCGTCAGGAGGTGATCCTCCCCCATGTGCGTCTGTTCAGAGGTGCCATTGGAGCAGACTTCGTTTTTATGGGTGACAATGCACGGCCACACCGGACTCTTGCTGTTCAGAAGCTACTGAAAAGTGAAGATATCACTCGAATGGATTTGCCAGCGTGCTCCCTTGATTTAAACCCCATAGAACATGTAAGGAATGCTTTGAGCAGACGCTTGTGACACGATTACATCCTCCGAGGAACACCCAACAACTGAAACAGATGCTGATTGAGGAATGGGCACGCTTACCTCAAGATCTGTTGAAAAATCTGGTACTGAGTATGGAGAGACCGTTCGAAGCAACCATTGCAGTAAGGGGAGGTAATATCTCATACTAAGGAACACCTGCTTGTTGTTCTTCCTCTTGTACAGACAATCATGTGTAACGATACTATCAGTTCAATAAAGCCTGTTTTTGTTTGATTCCATACTGTATGCATAGTATTCATTTTTAGAGCAATTATGCTTTCGTCATCGTTTAAATACAAAATGCTGTCTTTTAATTCTGAATTTCATGTCTCTCAGATGATTTCTTGTGGAGTTATGCCAAAAAGAACACCTGTTGCTTAAGTTTTGCACACCAGTGTACTTCGTGTGGCTTTCATCACCCTATATCTTACCCACCGGACTCCAACGTTCATGTTTTGTTTGACTGTTCGTAGTATAATTCTGTATTCTATTATATGCGTTAGTTTCGAATATGATCTAGACCAGCGGTGCCCAACCTTGTACTCACGAGCACAAGTGTGCTCGCCGATAGTTTTGTATATGCTTGCCAGCCCGATTAGGTACTATGAACAAAACATATTTTAAAAATAACCATTAATTTATATTTCTTAATTGTTAAAATATGGTAAGTATTTACAGTCATAAGAGATATCTTACAAGACGTTATAAAATAATTGATTGCTGACTGATGAACTTGATAGCGAACATGGAATCTTATTGCTTCATTCCAATGTTAGATGGCTCAGCTGGGGAAAAGTACTTCCAACGATTTGTAGAACTTCTTTCACCAATAAAGCAGTTTTGAATCCGGAAACGAAAGTTATAAAGAATTGGAAGATAATAATTGGTTATCCGATCTGTATTTTCTCACGGATATAACAGCTAAATTGAAAAAAACTGAACGAAGATCTCGAGGCAAAAGAAAAAACCCTTTTTCAATTGACTGGGACCGTAACTACTTTTCAGATAAAGTTAAATTTGTGGAAGAATCAGATGAAAGAAAGAAATTTCACCCATTTTCAGAATTTATCAAGCCATATTAATAACCACAAGGCAATTTAAACAGAGAAATACTCGAAAACCCTAAATGCACTGAAACATAATTTTGAACTCCGCTTCTCTGATTTCCATAAAGGTTCAACCAATATTATTATTCATCTCAAACCCATTTACAGAAATTCATATTTCAGATGCATGACATAAGACTGGAAATATGTTTAACAAAAATGTTGATGTTTTGGAAATGTGCTCGGGATAGGCCAAAGGTTGGGCGCCACTAGTCTTCTAGACTTCAGACTCTAGATTTCAACAGTTCCACATAGTTTCCGTAATTTCATAACAACAAAAGATAGTTAAATATTCTACAGGGTGATCTTTTTTAAAGTGACAGTGTTTGGAGCGCCCTGTAGCGCGATCTAATAGCCGAAATGGCACCAAACTTGGTATTTAGACTAATCAAGACATGGGACATCAAGACATACAATCGTACATTTAAATTATTAATGCTTATTTACTACATTAACTTCCCCGGTGAGGAATTAGACCACATTCAATGTGAGCATCGTTCTCAAAAATAACACCATGCATTCTGTGCACAACTTTCTCCACAGCCGTATGTAACATATCACGAGGAATATTCCGCACTGTCTTTGTTATGTTGTCCTTTAGAATAGACAAATTTAATACTCCACCAACATAAACTTGAGATTTCAAATAACCCCAGAGCCAAAAATCGCATGGCGTGAGGTCAGGGGAATGCAACTGCTAAAACTGCGACTTATGACTCTATCATCAGTGAGGTTTTGGAGCAACAGCTGCTTTACCTTATTACTAATGTGTGGCAGAGCACCATCCTGCATACAGATTGTCTGTTGGAGATGGTTTCTTTGATGAAGTTGTGGAATAACAAACGTTTGCAGCATTTCGTGGTACTTTTCTACATTTTATGGTGCACGTGTGGGGTCCTGTCGGAGTGATGGTCTCAAAAAAGAATGGCCCAATTACGAATTTCGATGTCAAACCACACTAAACAGTGACTTTTGTGGAATTTAATGGGATTTCGTGTACGGTGTGGGGCTGCTCAAAAGCCCAAATTCGACTATTTTGTGTGTTTACGGACCCATTGAGATAAAACTGGCACTCATCTCCCCACAGAATGTGCCATGGGAAAGCATCATTTTTGGAACTAAAATTTTTTTTTCACGGAATCCTTTTTCCCATGTCTTGATTAGTCTAAATACCAAGTTTGGTGCCATTTCGGCTATTAGATCGCGCTACAGGGCGCTTCAAACACTGTCACTTTAAAAAAGATCACCCTGTATATCCATTACGTTTTTGTATATTTCGAAATTGTTGCCATCTTTGAAATGATAAATAATTCAATTTCTAACAGACCTTGTTGTTAATTCGTAGCGTCTTGCCATGTTCACTTCAGATATGGAACTTTAATACAGTATTTTTGATAAAAAGAAGTAGTAATTTCCAAATATAGAAGATAATTAGCACCATCATGCTGAATAAATCGCGCACCATCATTTCCAAATATAGAGGATTATCCGCAACCCCATGTGTGCTAGCACCATTATGCTGAAACCACTTATATGATAAATATTTCAGTGAGACATTATTTTATAAGAAATCAGAAAATGGACCCTTTAATGTTTTAAATTTAATTTGTGTGCATGATACCAGTTAATGTGTCATTAAAACCCTTCAGTATTTCGTTCCGTAACCCACATCAAATATTTATTAATTATAAACTGAAAAAAAATGTGACACGAAAATAAAAAAGGACTTATGTATACATATATGGGGGTGTGTGTGTGTGTGCATTCAGTACAATATTTTATAAATTATAATACTAGGTTGCTCAAAAAATTGCATACTTTGGGATAACAAGCCTACCACCTTCCTGAGCAATGCGAAATACCTCTGAAATGCCTCCTAAGTTCATGCAGCCTTTGATAGCAATTGTAAGAAGACAAGTATACATCAGAATTGCTTGGATAACGTCTGTCCACAAAACAGCCTTCATGCCACCCTTAAATAGGAAAATTCATTTAAAAATTTGAACTGAAAAATTACAAGAAAAGTCAATTATAAATGTGATGTTACTTACCAAAGTGCAGTAAAATGTACAAACCACACCTACTGAAATGACAGACATGGTAAGCGATAAATTGGTGACAACACTCAGCGCTAAAGCTGGTGCAAACAGAGTTACTGACGTGAAGAGTACCTTGGAATTGAAAAAACGAGTTATTATTAATATAATCAATGTAAAACAAAATGCATAGAAACTAATAAATAAGTTAAATGGTTTTCTTGCAGCTATACTTTTGCCATTTTTCACTTTAATATTAAAAATACTGTTCATATAACTGTATGAAAAATCACAGAAAACATGCTTTGAATTAGCGTTAATAGTTTTGTTAACGCAAAATCGTATGTAATTTTAATTAGGTAAAATTAACTAGTTAGATAATAAGTCATACAGTAAGTTTATCCGCATATGCTTTCAATGACAAACCTAGGCATTGTGATAATCAAACGAGCTATTTATTGTTTAAGCAGAAAGCAAATAAAATCTAATCCCGTCTTGCAATATATTATCCTAATCAATTAAAGCTAAACTTTTAGTGTGATTCTACTCAAAACTTGCACACCTTTAGAGTGAACTGTAAAAGTAAGATTCATTTAGTGTGTTGTTTAATACTATTTCTGTAACAAAAAAGGACATTTTGTTTTATATAACAAAAGTATTTTCAAGACTAACCGATGGCCAAGCGAGAATAAGATATTGAAGGCATATTTTTGTTCTAATTTTAAAGTACAAGGAAACATGCTGTTTAATTGGGACTTCTTATTATTTTTCTGTCATTAACATGGACACAAATTAGTATAATTTTTATAGTAAGATAGGAAAGCCTTTACCTTGAATACATGTTTTTCTATAGCATAGATCTTAGCTATTAATGCCTGTTGCTTATAGCAAATGCACATAATCCTTACTTACCCTGGAGTCTTAAATACGAGATTTATAACAAGCAGTGAATCGCGACAGATAACGCCATGATTCTAATTGGGTGAGAATTTAAGATTTCAAATAAAAGTAGGTGACCTCAGACTGGCATAAATTTTGAATAAAATTTTATCGATTTCCAGGATATTCAGATACAGATTCCTCCTTTTTCAGAAGCAAAACGTTTTGCTCCTTTTCTTAACGAGCAAGATACTTTTTCCTGCTAAAGAAGAGGTACGTAAACTTGACTGCTCTGGAAATGTATAAAATTATTTATTTGAAGCTCTGCCTAAGTCTAAGATTTTTTTTTTTTTTGCTTAGTTTTAAAAGTCACGGCTAGATTGTTTCGTTGATATATAGTAATTATGCATATAGTAATTATGCAAATATACTTAATTAGTAAAACTTTTTAGTAAATAAATTTATTCATAATTTAATAATATTTAATCGCTTTTTGCTTTGAAATCGTCATTACTGACGTGCATGAAACCTTTCCAAATGAAGTTTGAATGTCCACTTGCTTCATAAATTTCGCTTTTTCAAAAAAAAAAGTCATTCTTGAAATATAAATATGCATTATTTTTGCAGTGTTAGAGTTTTTATTTACTTTCTTGATGAATATCGCAATTACTTTTATGCAAGCTTAACCCCGTCACTATCCATTTCTTATTTTACCTGAAAATTTAGTTTACTTTAAATTACGACAGCTTAGTTTAATTTTTTTCCAATCTCAGTCCATTCAATAATTTCATTTTATAAAAGTTAAATTAATAGATTGCTCGAAGGAAAGCTTTCTTTTGCTTTGAATAAGTCAGCATGGTTGATCACTGGATCTTCCAGATTTTTCACTTTTGATAGAATTTTACAGCATGGAATCTGACCACACTTCGCCAAATCCAGCTTCTGGTTAATGGCCAAAATCAATGATTCTGTATCAGTCGCTTAACATTTTATTAAGTTTTGAAGGCATTTTAAACAAATAAAAATAAAGAACGCGATAGATATATAAACGCGATGTTTTGTTGAGCAAAAGACTAATGAAAATGACAAAGATGCAAAGCAACTGCCAAGCCTTTCCGAATATTTCCAAATAAAAAATACTAATATCTTATTAAGGCAGATCTAAACTAGCGAAAGAGTGCCGGGTTATCGGATATGCTGAACAACTAGGATGCGTACAATCAGGTTGTTTCAAAATTTTTGAATTTCATCAAATTTTGTATCTTCGAAATAAACTTTAGTATTGCAGAAGTCAAACAACAAAAATCAGCGTTATATTTTCAAAATTTTCATAGGACTAGTTTTGATGGTTTTACCGAACCACCATCCTCAGCTGCAAAACCGAAAATAAAAACTCAAAACTCGTTCATTTGCGGTTTTGCAGCTGAGGATGGTGGTTCGGTAAAACCATCGAAACTAGTCCTGTGAAAATTTTGAAAATATAACGCTGATTTTTGCTGTTTGACATTTGAATTAGTATTTGTTCGGCGTGTTATTGTGTCTTAAACTTTAGTATCTTCAAACTTCAAACAATTTTTTAATAAGTTCTGCTGTTTCTCTTTCTGTGGGCTGTTTTGTGAAAGAGAGAAACTTTGTGCTTAAAACATAACAGCATTCTTTACAGTATATGTTTTTGAAGAATTTTGAACTTTTTTGTTGATAACCTCGCAGTCTGCAAATTATTCTATGAAGTCATGATTCACTCAATCGTATAATACATAAGATAATTACATCCTACTTCAAAAATGTTTGCATTTGACTTTAGTTAAAAGATACTTACATTCTGAAATATAAATAAAGCCGAAAGGATTCTTCTCGTTGGTGTACCAAAACGTTTTTCCAGGTACTATATAAAGAAATCAAGAAATTTAAAAACAAATCTGAAGATTACCACTAAGTACAAAGCATTTTACTCCATATCTTGTAAACGATACTAATAATAATATGATGCTAATTATAAACGCAATAAACTTGACAGCTACTTGAACTTAATTTAAAATATATTTCAGGTAAATAAAAATTAAAATTTTAATATGGATATGCTAAACAACCAAAACCTTTAAATAAAACATGTTAAAATCTCTATTTCGTTGCAAAATTTCAGCTCTTTAATTCACTAAATAATTTTTCGTGTTAATCGGCTGAGATTTTGAGTAGTGTAGCTTGCAGGTACAAAAACTAAGGTCCTACTGATAACTCGCATCTGCTAAATACAGTTATTTATACCTGCAAGAATGTGCTACACGTGTGACATTTTTTGTTTATAAAGCTGAAAGATCTCTGTAGAAATCAAACTTATTTGCACTTAAAGTCTTAAGCCCTTATCCTTGTTCTGCAGTAAGAGCGGATATGTTTCTTATCCTGAATCACGGAGAAAATTTTAACATTTTAATAAATTGTGTATTATAAGTGTTATAAATATTCACATTAATATTATTCAAAGTATCCTAACATTTTTAATTCAAACTTTCTAGCCACGCATCATGTAACAGATATGAATTCAGTTTTTGAAATAGAGGTTTACAGAAGAGCATTTTTGTGTTTCAAAATGCGAAAGGTTTTAGTGTTTGGCTCTTGTTACATACATTTCGGAGAAAGTAAGATACAGATCTACTAAACCACAAATGTATTCTGTGATAATATCAATAGTTCAAGAACACTATTTGGCTGTGGTAAAGCAAGAGCCTCGTACAACAGAGATTATCTGTCGAAAATTGTGGAGAAAGAATCCCCGCATGGCATACAAAGATAAATAAATTGCTCTAGTCGCGGACTGAGAATTCTGACCGCGGCCTGAGCTTTTGATGCCGGATTTCCTAGTAGCTATAACTAGAAACTGAGTCGCATATGCAATGAAATCAATATTTTATGGAGATTAAAGAAATTAGCTCAGTATATATCTAATTAAAAAATATATTCTAATTAAAATAAAATATAAATACCTCATATGCTGTCGTAATACCAGTATTGAAAAATATGGGAATGAATAGATAAGCAGCAATCACTGGTCCAACTGAAAATCCAATATTCATAAAAACCATGTTGGTTCCATAATCGTACATTTCTGCAGGAAGTCCCATGAGAATCGTAGCTGAGAAGAAACTAGCCATTAGTGAAAAAGCAACGGGAAGTATTGACATGTCTTTGCCAGCAAGAAGATATTCGTCATTGGTTTTCTGTTTGTTTCCTGAGAACCGAAAGTAGAGTCCCAAGGCTGCAGATATCGACAATGTGATTCCCAAAATAGTGTAATCAGCAGCTCCCAAAATTAATTTCTCTGACGTCATAGTTACAGAGGATTAATCTAGGAAAGAATTTTAAAAAATGTCATTTTCTAATTTATAGTGCCTTAATGATCATATTACTGAATTCATGAAAATATTTAGGCTTATTGCTTATTTGCTTATAATGTGATTTTCTTTTATTTTTGCAATGTTACGGATTTGTTTATTTACAGACTCGATGTATTTATCTAGTCATTTTATGTTTAATGCTTATTTATTGAATTTGTGTTTACTTAATGAGCTTATTTCGTACATTGTCTTGCAGATCTTTTTATTCTAAATGACTGATATTCCAGAGACATTTCTGCAGGGCCTTACGACGTTTAGAGATTTCTTGTTAACTTAGAGATATTCCTGAAGTTTGCATAAATTGTGTTCTAAGAACTATTCTTTGGAAAGTTCTACAGGTGTTTAACCTATACCTTGAACAATGGTACATATATGAGGCTGCATTGGAGCCTCTAGTTAGTTCAAAGCTGTGAGTTCAGCTCAAAATCATGTGACTTCAAACTTTGCAAAGCGAACGATTTTAGTGATTTGGGTTATTTCTCTAGTATTAAAAGAGAACTTCGCTTTTCTAACTTGTGATTAATTGCAAAGCTAATTAAAGAAAACTTTAAAAGAGTTAAATATTCACTTTTAAGTCTTTTCAAAACTCAACGAAATCTTTTTTCCTCATTTAATAATATTAAAATATTGTAAAATTATTTTGTAATTTAAAACATTTTAAAATTTCTAGAATTTCTGAAGTAAATCAAAACGTCTTCAGTAGAAAAAATAATCTTAGAAAGAAAGGGAAAAAAAGCGCTTATCCGTACACAACATGACTTCCTTGTACGGAATATTAAATTATACGCATTTTTCCTGCATTTCATTTAAACTGATTTCCTCGAATTTTATTAGATATATATTTCTTATTCAATTAATTCGCGACAAGGCAAAAATACATAAAAACTCAAAATATCTTCATTAAAAATCGAAAGGTATAGAAAAACATAAAACACCAAATACAGTTAAAACAATTTAAAAAATTACATTTAAAATTACAGTTTCCACACAAAAACAAGCAATTCGGTCAGCGTGCAAGAAGGCAGATTTTTCGGTGCACAAAACTGAAAGTTTACTTTTCGTCTCACTCGGCAAAAAGACGCTGAAGACGTAGAAACTTACCGAATTTATTGTAGACGCTGTGCAGATACAATATATGAGATAATTTAATAACTTAAATAACAGTTCCAGAATGGATTAAGCATGATTTAATTCTCAATAGTAAAAGAAGACGTTACTTTGTTGTTGCGAAGCTTAGTTGCTCTAGATTGACAACAAATCCACTATTCTGCTAAGTTTCAAATGTAAACAAATATGGCTGCTACGATAAAAAATTAGACTTAGACGCGCTTAAACAACTTAAATTGTTGATAATTCTACAACTATAACTTGCAGGTTAACTAAAGGTATAAAAACCTTAACCGGAAGATTAAAAAAAAAACATAATTCAATTATTTTTAAAGCAAAAAAGGCTCAATTTACCATCATATAAGAATAAAAAACTAAGCTCAAGGAGCCGAGTAACAAAGTGGATATATATCTACTTTTTGTGCGGCCGATTGCTACCAAAAAGAGAGGTGCACATCTACATGTTACAGCAGTCCTCACATACAAAATTTCAGCTTTCGGGGGCTATTCGTTTTTGAGTTATGTGAAATAATACATATGTACGTAAGGTACTTACAGACACCACCAAAAAGATCTCTTCTGAATCCATTTTAAATCAGTTTTATAATTCGTTTTGGGAAAAAGAGTCCTTTATTCTGTCCTTAGGTACAAATGTCATGCAAAAACATGGTTAAATTGCATTCGATAGCGGTCAAAATGGATATTTTCATTGAAATATGGTACCCGGAGAATTTTTCATAATTACAATACTTCCTTTTCTTCGTGCGAGGAAGTAAAAAAGGAGGAGGAAAGGGAAAAAGAAGGAAAATTAAAAATGTCTGGTCCGTGACAGTTAGCCGACAACCACATAGCCAACAAGACACTTAACCGACGCCAGTTAGCCGGCAGGATATTTAGCCAGCACGGACACCTAGCCGATATGTACACTTAGCCGACAGGACATTTAGCCGACAGGACATTTAGCCGACAGGTAATTTAGCCGACACGGACAGTTAGCCGACAAGCCGAAAGGTCTTTCTTTCACCTATTAGTAAAATTCATTTTTCGGTTCTTAAGGATCCCATATGTGCGTTTAATTCTTGTGTAATTTAGCATAGTTTGATATATATTGTACTGCTTGGTGTATATTGGTCAAATTGTAAAAACGCGTTGAAATTTCTCGTCGGGGAATATGAATTAATTTTCGAATGGAAAAAATAATTTTTTAGCTTAGTACGATAGTCACTAAGTTACATTTTAAAGTGGGATCTGCAAAAATTGTCCGTAGAGCTTCTTCGTTTAATCAGCTGGGTTTCTTTGGAACACTTTCACATCATTAATAGTTTTTTTTTTTTTTTTTTTTTTTTTTTTTTTTTACTTAATGATATTACTAATCACGCTCTTCCTAATTCTTTCAAATTTCTCATTTCCATTCATTCATTTCTCTCATTCTCTTCTCATTTTCTAGCAAAGTATTTATAAAGGTCTAGCCTGAAAAAGCAATTTTCATCAGAAGAGACTGGTTTCATATTAAGTTTAATATATAACCAGTCACTAAGAGACTGGTTATAGCAGTGGCCGAGCGGTAAAGTCGCTGAGCACTGGTAGTTCCGTCCGAATTGCGAATCCCACAAACGGACTGGCTGCATGGGTGTTTTTGTGGTTTTCCCCATGTGTAACGTTTATACGAGCCTGCTTTCCTTCGAAATTCCTCCACGAAAGTATCCCTTCCCTTAGGCAGATAGTTCTCTGGCTTTGCCGTAATTACATAAACCAAACGTACTTCTGTTAGGTGGGCCACAAGGCACGAATTCCTGGGCCGGAGCCCTATCCCAGATTAATAAATGCACTATGCCTAACTTGTATACAGCATTCTTAGGGTGAAAATTTTCAGAAAAAAAAAAAAAAAAAAGTAGTTCCAGTATGGCGAATCACTCTACTTCCTGACAGAGATAGGAAATTTCATTAGTGGGAGGAGAGAAACGGTTTTATACGAGAATGAATGTAGCGTGATGTGTTGAGAATAGTAATAAAGAAATGTGAAAGTAATAGGAATTTGAAAGCTTTGGGAAAAGGAAGACTCATTGTCGGCTAATGTCCTGTCCGTGTCGGCAAAATGCCCTGTCGACTAAGTGTCTTTGTCTGCTAAATGTCCTGTCGGCTAAGTGTGTCTTCGTCGGCTAAATGTCCATGTGGGCTAAGTGTCCGCGTCGGCCAAATGTTTCTGTCGGCAAACTGGTGTCGACTAAGTGGTGGTCGGCTAAGTGCCCGCGACCGTTAAGAAATATCAATTACAGATTTAACATACTAAATTATGTTTTTTCATACTTTTTGTTCTCACTGTATAGCAATTTTGAAAGAAAGCATGAAACAATTTCATCTTTTGTTTTCTATATCTAATAAACGCTAATAAATAGTTATGCTTCGCAAACTTCCCGCAAATAAATTTTAAAATATCCATTTCTGAAATATGCATTTCATTCTAAAATAAAGCCCACCAGCGGCCGAGCGGTAAAGACGCTGAACACTGGTAGTTCGGTCCGAGGTTCGAATCCCGCGAACGGGCTGGCTGCATGGGCGTTTTCGTGGTTTTCCCCATGTGTAACGTGTATACGAGCCAGTTTCCCTTAGAAAGTCCTCCACGAAAGGCATCCCTCCCCTTAGGCAGATAGCCCTAGTGTGCTTTGCCATAATTAAATACACTACACCACACCACATTCTAAAATAAACTGTGTTTGAAAGTTTAAGTGATTGCAAATGTTTTAAATCTTTATCTTATTTACTGTTCTTTTTAAAAGTTATTTGTTAGCTATTTATTATTTATTTTGATTAGGTTGTTGAGAAATGAGGATTTGTAGAGATTTTTTGAATAATTACGCCAGATGAGTAGAAAGATATAAAGACCGGTAGAGTAAACTACCCCTGCTTCTTTCTATTTTTTCTTGAATTTCTGGATTATGCCACTAGTTGGGCGACACGGATCGGTAAACATATACGCCAAGGGAAGTCATGTTACCAAAGAAATGGAAAATACAAAAGAGATCGAATGGAAAGAAGAGGCCGGACTCGCTCCTCTCTGGATTTGCTAGTGCGCGAATACAGAAAACTATGGTCAATCGTGTATATTTATCGTTCTTTATCATGTTAATAATCGTTATATTCTCATAAGTGTTTACCGAAGGGAAAGGAAACCACGAGAGAGCTAATTTCATTAGGTTCAAACGTCACCTGATAAGATAATTGAAATCTGGAAAATAAAATGACGCCATTTTTAACGACAAAAATTGTCTTCAAGGCTCGTCTCTGGATTTTTTTTCTTATATCTCATCTTCTAAATGAGATAGCTTTACAATTCATATGTCGATTTATTCAGAATTAAAGATCTTTAATATTGCATACGAAAAATACACTTACAAATACAGAAGGCCAGAATTTCGATTAAACATAAATACAGTACAAAGTTAATGTGTAAAATGCAATTAATAAAATAATTTATTAATAAAAATATAAAATATCTCTATAAAATACACAAATACCAAAAGCTTTAAATATTTATATATAGTTACAACACCATTCATAAATTACTACATAATATTTCTCTGAAAACTGAATTAACAGTCGATAAATATAAACGACCTCCAATTAATGAACCAATTTTCAGTAATAACACTTGTTGAAGAAGTACTGCTTATTGAAATCTCCGCTTAAAATTCATTAGCAGATTCTATTGGTTCTATTTTCTAAATCTTACTTCAAATTATGAAATTTTTTAAACTGCATCTAACATACAGATTTTTCTTAAAAATATAATTGTCGATTTCTTAAAATATAATTTTTAATTTTTATATGAAAAGGGATAATGTACTTTGTTACTTTTCCTCTTTCTGAGGTTTTTAATAATAATATTATACACTGCTCAACACCGAAAAGGCAGCACCAAGAAGGAGTGGTCAGAAAGTGATGAAATTTGGAAAAAAGACAGAGGCAGCAATAAGTGATCTTTATTTCAAAATGATAGTCAGAATACAGAGCGAGAATGGTGTCGGCTCAGTAGGATAAGTGATAAGTGATAAGTGACGGTGGACGTGGGCACTGTCCCTTTGCCGTAAAGATTAATCAGTACAGCACCACGTCCACCCTTATCTAAAGTTGGCTAGAGAGGAGCCTCACGAGAGTTATGCATTTACATGTATACTATACTTTGTACTTGGCATTACTTGGTAATACATTAACAAATAAAACTGTACACAAATTCTACTATCTGTGTTTACATGTTGGGAGTGACTTTACATAAAGCTGCGTATTGGAACATTATAATTGCTTCGGCAATTATGCGAATGTGCTTGTGAGGGTTAACCTGCTGGGGCGTAAACATTTATACACTACAAGTGTTCAGAAGGCAGCTATAACTAAATTTTTGCAGTACACGTATGATTTATGCTATACATTGCATTTTACTTATTTATGACATTGTAAATTATTATTCGGTATGGTCTATAATTTGGTAATATATATACATTATGTGATACGACATGGGCATATCATCTATCACTTAATGGGCAAAGAATGGTATCACACTTAACATTATTTGACGTTACATTTGCAATTAATGCATTTCGCATATTCCTCACTGATATGACGTTGTCAGGAGTGACTTTGCTTGTTTACGTATTAGAACATTATGAATGTTCCGGCAATTTTGCCAGTGAGCTTGGGAGGGCTTTATTGCAGGGGCTTGTACATATACACTACTGGTGTTCAAAGGGCGGCTACATCTAAATTGCTGCAGTAAGTATATGATATATGCTATACATTTGCATATTCTTGACTTTACCTATTATTATCCGGTGCGGTCTATAAGTTCTACAATATGTACAGTATACGATACAAAATTGACATTAATATTACAGTTTATGAGGCAATTAAGGAATTATACTTAACATTAATTAACATTACATTTACAATTACATTATGCATATTCAACACTGTATTTACTTTGTCGGAAGTGACATTGCATATAGCTTGTTGTATAGAACATAATAATTACTCCTGTAATTACGCAAGTGAGCTTGGGGCAGCTTTCATGCAGGGCTTGTATATATATACAGTACATGTGTGCAGAAGGCGGTTGCAAGTAAATTACTGCAGTGCACGTATAAATAGTGCTGTGCATATACATATTTACATAATTATGACATTACATGTCTTATATATACACTATGCGATACGGCATTGACATTATATATGAGGATATGAGATAATAGTGGTATTACATTACCATTATTGACATTACATTTACGAATTACATTATGCAGATTCAACTCTGTAAATACATTGTCAGGAGCAACATTGCATATAGAACGTATTTATAACACTATATTTGCTCTTGCTTTTATGTGATTGAGCTTTAGGATGGCGTACAGGCAGACCTGATATATAGACATTATAGGTGCTCAAGGCAGCCACATCTGAGGTCCTGCTGTACCTGTGAGATTTTTGTACAGACACATAGATACTTATTTATGACAGTGTTTGCATATAATGCGGTACTGTAAGTATTTTCTATATTATGTTACGTAATTCGATACAACATTACATATGACTTTACATTACTATTCAGAAATGACGTTACACTTGCGTTACGTGGTATTACATTTACAATTTGTGCAGTGTTCGGATTCAGCAGTGTTTTTATTATGTCCAATGTGACATTAGATTTTGATACATATTGAGCAATATAATTGCTCTGGCAGTTATGCAAATGAGCTTAGGATGTCTGACATGCCGGGGCATGTAAGTATACATTTCTACTGTTCATAGGAGCATCTTGCTATGTCACTGCGGTATGCGCAGGATTGTACTGAACATATGCTTTTGCATACACTTTCTAATTTTGCGTAATACTTCATACATATTCTAAGTTTACTAATTCTATATTGTCCTTTGACTGTTCAGTACATCCGATGCGACATTTACATTTAAATACACGTATTTAAAGCAGTTAGGTTGTGCAGCCACTTATGGGGATGGGCATTGGGTAGCATTACACTTGCAATTCAGGTCTAGGACAGAGCCTGAAGTCAGCTGGGTACTTTCTTTGTCTGACACGTCATCCATATTAATATTCACTGTTAAATTAGTGGAGATGTTCGCGCATACTTGCTGATGTGCATGAACTATTTTATATAATGGTTTTTAAGTTATTTACATTGCTTGAATTTTGATTAGTACTGCTGAGATGTTGCGGTACGCTTCGGATAAACAGTACATGTACACATACGTGGTATACTTGGCATGTTTGACTTACTCTTGGTAGAGTTTGCTTGTTCAGCGCTATTTGCGTTATCTGAGGATACATTTCTCAAAAGCCATGCAGGCCTTGCACTAATTATTCGACTGCGCAAAGGTCAGTCCGTGTCTGGCAAGTAAATTCATAATTTTAATGATCTGTCGACAAGGTGCTTCTGCTTAATCATGAATTTACAGAAGGCCTGCGTATTGACAGTTGGAATACGTATGTGCAGTTCGCTGGTAAGTGGGCAGGTTGTGACATAATGCTCCGGAGTACCCAGGTGGCCACAACTGCACTGATCTGTGTCAGTCACGCCATGCCTGGCAAAGTACTCCGGGAAAGGCCCATGGCCCGTGATATAGCGCACCAAGTGCGTATTAGAACATAGCCGGGCAGGGTTTACGTACATTAGATGGTAGTGTGTACGCCTGCCTTTGTGGTATTCTTCCTGTGTGTAGCCTGATTGTGCGTGTGCAGTGTCCCATTGTTCTGCCTTCTTAGCGAGAGCCTGCAGATGGAGATGTCGAGATGTCGTTTCAAAGAGAGTGTTTCAAAGAAGAGTGTGGCCATGGAATTTCCAATTCCTCGCTTCTATGTTGAGGGCTGCGTCTTTCGCGAGGAGGTCGGCTGCCTCGTTACAGGTGTTTCCTGCGTGGGCTTTCGTCCATGCCAGGCGAACATGCAGATGCTCTGTCTGCCTTAGATGGTATTGAATTTCTTTGATAATTGTGGACGTGTGTGCCGGATTTTGGATGGCTTTGTAGGGCTGACATGCTGTCGGAAACTATTGCTGCATTCCTGATGTTATGGTAAGCAATATGTTGTACTGCCTTTTGAATTGCCAGTGCCTCCCCTTGAAAGACGCTGTTGTTTTTGTTCAGATGGCCCTTCCATTGCGCGACCTGTTCTTGGCCTTGAAACATTACGTACGCACATCCGACGTTGTCATCCATTTTTGACCCATCAGTAAAGATACGGGTATTGTACCTGTTCATATCTTCAGGTCGCCCTTTGAGGTTGATTCGTACTCCTACGCTCTGCTGTGCTGGGTGAAACTCAAGTGGATTGGCTGGAATTTCATAATCTCTGGGCCAGTAAGTTTCTTCATATAAAGTGGCTGGTTGCCGCAGTTGCTTAACTTGTTGCAGGACTGCCTCCCTTTCGGCGCTGATGTGAAGTGGAACGAGACCTGCTAAAATGTTCAGTGCGCTAGTAGCTGTCGTGCGGTAGGCCCTCGTGATGTTTAACATAAATTGCCTTTGTATACTTGAAAGATGCCGCACTTTACGGCTTTGCATCGGCTGGGCCCATACAGCCGCCGCATACGTTACAATCTTTTCTGCAACTGTCTGATAGATGATCTTATGAATATGCGGATTGAGGCCCCAACTGTGACCCTGCATTAACCGCATGTTCTTAGCAATGGTCGCGGTACGTTTTTTGAGATCAATTACATGTGGGATCCAGTTCAATTTATTATCAAACAGTAGACCCAGATATTTTAATTGCTTAACTATTTTTATCCGCTGGCCATTGATGGTAATGCGAGGCTGTCTGACCAGCGTTCCTCCTTTTTTGGGGAAAAGCAGAATTTGTGACTTGCTTTCCGCTATTATTAATTTTATCTTCTGGCATCTTTCGCTGAACAGGGAGCAGGTCTGATTGCTGTTCGCTTGTAGTTCCTCTCTCGTTGCGACCTTTTACTATAAAGGCCGCGTCGTCCGCGTAAGCTATAACCCTTGTATGCTCCGGCCACTGTGCAGAGAGAATACTGTTGAAAGTTAAGTTCCAGAGTTGGGGGCCCGCGCATGAGCCTTGTGGGCATCCGCGGGATTGCCTCCTCTGGAGTATACCTCCGTTGTGGACGACTATGACGCTTCGGTCTGACAGGTAGTGCTGGATTGTTCTGTACATGTTCGATGGGCATTTGGCTTCTGCCAGCGCATTGAGTATGGCTGGCCACCACAGCGTGTCGAAGGCGCTTTTTAGATCGAGGCTGATAAACGCCGTGTGGTGACCGTTCCCTTGATTTTTATAAATTTCGTTTTTGATTTCTGCCAGTGCGTGAACCGTTGATGTACCGGTTCTGAAGCCATACTGATTAGGGCTTAAGTAATTAGTGAGGTGCAAGTGATGCCTCAGCCGATTCATAATGATCTTTTCGTACACCTTCCCCAACGCAGACAAGAGGCAGATGGGTCTGTACGAGTCTGGGTTGGAGGGGTCTCTATTTTTCTTTAGAAAGAACACTGCTTGCCCTACTTTGAAACACCGCGGGAATGTACCCGTGTTATAAAGCCTGCTCAGGAGTGAAGTGAAGAATTCAATGTTTGCACTTAAGACGGCCTTGACGATGTTATAATTTACTCCGTCCGGCCCCGGAGCTTTTTTCTTGGGGAGGCAGCGTAGTATTTGTATCAATTCCTGTGCTGTGATATCCTTGTCATCTGGGATGGAAGTATCTGTTGCCGTAGTCCTTTGTTGTTGATGCTCAGCTGTATCTCCTGTCATATCATCCTGCGGGAACACTGCATCTAGTATCGCATTCAGTGTGCTGACCGTGGGGCTTTCATCTTCTGTCATTGCATGGAGGAGATGAAACTTAGTAGGTGCATACCTCTTCCCGGTCGCCAGCTTGTGTGATGTATGCCAAAGGGAGCTGTGTTCTCTGTGCAGAAAGCCCTCCAGGAGGTGAGTTTTGCCTGTAGGACCATCCTTTTATAATGGGCTCTTTCTCGCTGGAAAGCTATCAAGAGAGTTGAGTCAGCGGTGTCGTTCCTTTGGCGATCTCGCTTAAGCCGGCGTCGCAGTGCACGGCACTTTTTTTGCTGTACTTTAAGGTCGCTTGTCCACCAGCTCAGACTTTGCGGCTTTTTGGTGGTTCTGACCGGCAGAATTGCTTCGCAGGCTTCTTGTATGACCGTGACGACTTTTTCAGTAAGTTCTTCGAGCTCTGCTTGTGTTGCTGCTAGCTCTATCCTGGGGCGCAACTCGCCTAGATGGTGTTGACAGCGCTGGACGAATCGCTTCAGCTTGTTGGCGGGCAGATTATACCTTCTTATAATAGAAGTAGTTGTCCGGTGCGCAATTTTGAATGTCACATAATTGTGATCGGACAGACTTATTCCCTCTATTACTTCCCAGTCCTGTAACATGGGGCAATACTAGGGGTGGATATTGTTAAGTCTGGCCAGCCTTTTGCGTGTACCCTATCAAATGTGGGTGGAGCATCTGCGGAATTATGGAGAACCAGGTTATGAGCCGAGAAGAACTCTTCCAGGTGTCTGCCCTTGGGCTCCGTATCCGCATAGCCCCAGCACACATTGTGGGCATTAAAGTCTCCTGTAAAGATGATATTGACCTTGCCATAGTCTCTGAGGAGGGATGCCATGAAAGTCGTGTTGGTTCTTGGTTTTTGTTCTATCGCAGCTGTGGGTGCGGAGTAGATTGTAACGAGGACTAAATGCAGTTCTTGCGTCTCCAGGAGCACTGCGATGTGATCTCTCTCTTGGCTGATGACACTGAGCGACCACGCCGGATTGCAGTTGATGATGGCAGTACGTGGAGGGAATTCCGTATTCTCTTTCTGAAATAAACCCCACTTGAGGGGGAACCCTACCACTTTTCCTTGTTTAGTGTACGGTTCCTGGATAAATATGATGTCTATTTTGTTCTCGATAGCCTATGCTGTGGCATGGGCGCTTGCTGCGTGTGCCCGTTGCAAATTTATCTGCATACAACTGATTGGTGTGTACTCTTGTAGTCTGACTTCATTCATTATGCTTTTAGGCATCTGTGGTCTTATGTTGCTGCTTACTGGCTCCTCATGAGGTGCGGTAGTGCCCATCATGCTAATATTGGACTGAATCCCGGTATCTCTGCACTGCCAGTTTAAATTCTGGACAGTCTCTGTGGTAGGCAGGGTGCTTATGATCCCGCCTGGCACCGATGCGATGGATTGCATCACCACAGTTGATACAAGAGGGAAATTCTGCCCGGCATTCTCGAGTACCGTGTTCTTCACCACAGTAGGCGCAGTACTGCCTTGGGCTTCTGCAGTTGGCCTGTGTGTGGCCCAATCTCTGACACCTGTAGCATCTGGTGATGTCGTGATATTCGGTAATGGTGTGGGCGGCCCATCCCAAGTAGAGTCTTCGTGCCTTGATTGCTGCTGCAAATCCTGCTTGTTGGCATTCAAATACCCATTTGACTCTATCGCCTCGTCGTTCCTTGAGGCGATAGAGTGCCTTGAAGTGGTTGGCTGGAGCATTGGTGACGGCACTGATTTCACTAATGATGTCCTCTGGCTGCATGTTGGCGGGACGTTGTGCACGACGCATCTTGGTAGTCGTTTTTTTCAGGTCTCTTAACCTCGGCCGGGATGGCGGCTTTTTGTAGT